AAATAACCAATGTTCCGATGCCTAGATTTGAAATGTCAGTCCCATGGACCCTTTCAATAATAATTTGAAAATGCTAATGTGCCACACTCCTATACAAATCATCATAACCCCCATGTTCCTGAAGCAACGACCGCGAGTTTTACAACATCATGTACGTAGTTAAGGCGAAATCAAACCTTCTATTGAAGATGCATAACCCCCAAAACCATAAATACTTTGCATATGGCGTATCTAGATTATAGGACTGATGGGGTTTCGATTCCCCTGTTGTGCGTGATGGATAAGGGTCGCCCGTCCAACCTCGTGGGTTTTCTCCGGGTCCTCCGGTTTCCTCCCACTACTAAAGACCCCTACACGCAAGCGAATTATTCAAATGAAATTGAACCATGTGTTAATCCCGAAATGACTCTCTCACTCTCTTGGGGCGTCATCTAATTGCTTATATTGCCTTACAATAAAATAAACGGGTGGGCCGCAGCGATATTTCCCATGCAATGAAAAGAAGTTGAATGAAAATTATTTTTGTAAATGATATTATGTTTATATTATATAACCCGGGCCATTGGCAATATTATCATTATTCCAAATATATCTATATGTCGCTATAGATCTCACAACGTAGCTCTAATCAATGTTTGTTAATGTCGTGATTTTAAGTTAAAATTGATTTTAGTTAAAATTGTCCCTAAAATAGTCTTGTGAAACGCCACTATTTTAAGTTAAGATACAATTTTAGCTTACAATATTATTTTAGTGGATTTTATCTAAAATGCTTAAAATCGTTTTGTGAAACGCATCTATCTTAAGTTAGGATGGACTTTTAGTTTAAGACAATTTTAAGGAGATTTAAGTTTTTGTGAAACAGGGCCCAGCTCTCGGCATGCAGTATGTACTTGCCGTGCTAATGGCGACCTACTCACGGCATGCAGTATACACTGTTAGAAATGATAAGGTAGTGTACACTAGCTGTGATGTAAGGTTTATACTTAAACATGCATTATGCAAGAGCTAAATCTGCCTATTTCAGGTCTTTCTTTAGGCCTGAAATGTTATCTAAATTAATTAGACATTAATTAACCTATCCAGACCATAATCAATTCTAGATGGCAGCGCTAGCCTGCGATCTTTAGTGGATTGTAAGCCGATTTACTGCATAACTTTCCTTCTCTATTAAACGATTAAATGGATAATCGAGACTATGCTGTTTATCGTACTGACTTTAGTAATGATGACCGAGGCTTATGGGAATTTCAGTCGCTTAGTTCTCGGTTCATCGTGGATCAATTTGAATGAAATTTTCACCAAATTGCCTTTACATTATCTAGTTTTTAACTATTATAGTGAGAACTGCCAACTCGTTACCGAATCTCCCATAATGTATCTTTAATTAACACTGCTTATTGTTTTTAATTACACCTATTTTTAATTACACCTATTTTTAATTACACCTATTTTTAAAACAGTGTGGGTGAAACTGTAACCGGACTAATGAGGACGTGCACGTGCCATGTATTATGGAAAAATTTACCTGAGGGGGGGGGGGAGAGAGAGAGAGGTGAAATGGGATTTAACGTCCACTCGACACAAATTAGGTCATTTCAGGATAGGTGGAATCTGTACCCGTGCAGCGGCACTACTGCCTACTCTCTGTCGAATTCCAACTATGAAGGGTCCATTTCTTGCACGCAAACGTGTTCGTTAGACATCGGATTTTCCTACCATGGGAAAGAATAGACGGTGTTCCAAGCCGGACCGCCCGTCCAGCACCACTGACAACTGACAAGGGTAAATCCAAGAAATATTCCTGGACAACACAGGGATCGAACCTGGAACTTCATGTTTAGTGGGACAACGCCATATTGCCTGAACAACCGTGGCCCAGATTATAGATATATCGTTATGTAAGGAATATGTATATATTAAGTATTAATTAATCATTTAGTTTTTTTATTCACTTGTCAGTTAATTAACTCTTCTCTAGACTAACTAATAAATAAAAAAACATTTATATGGATATTAATATCTACTTATTAAAACAAGTATACCCGTACTACGGTTAGGTCTAAATACCATCAATAATGATTCGATTTGACTAATAATTCGGGTTCGTAATTTCAATGATTCTGGATAATACTTACTGTTAGATTTAATGGAGGTTGGCGTGGGATGGGGCGAGTTTGCTCAATGTTCACAATCCTCAAGTCATGATAAGTCACCGAGGAGAGTTACTTTAAGTACAATTTCAATTTTCTAGAACAGTTTTCAATCAAAACAAGTTCATTAGCTCCAGGGAATTATTCACCATATTGCCCTACATCTGACGTCTTTAGTATACTGACGTCATAACTAGTGTGTACAGGTGACCAACATTGTCACTGGCTGACAGTGGCGCAGGTTAGTGTCATATAGTGTCATCTTGTCACCCGAGGTTATAAACAACTAATTAATTAAATGATTAATTTACGTGACCACTAGCACAGTGACCGCCCGGCTGACCAGTTAACACTTTTATTAAAAACCATTCGACGATGTACTTTAATTGGATTCGCGTCCATAGCTGACGCTATTTGGTCTGATTCCCAGGGGCGTAACCAGGGTCGTGGTACAGTTGATTCAATGAGTAAGATGATTCGCTGAGTTGGATCCTAATGTTGGCTGATAATTTTCATCGGGATTTTTCGGCGTGGTTCGCCATTGTCAGTGGTGCAGGACAGCCTATAGTCGTTCGGGTGAGGCGAAATCCCAAGGTCCTGTGTACACATTGGCGTGCATGTAAAAGATCCCTTGGCAGCTGTAATTCGATGTATGAGTAGGTCGTGGTACTGCTGCCCAGGCAACACCACATTTCATTCCATTTAGGTATAGTTAAAACTGAACTGTCATGTGAAACGTCGTGGGTTCGCAAGTAGAATCTGTATGTCGGATGTTCCTCTGAGTGTAGTATGAGGGGAAATGGTCTACTCTTAAATCGACTTCCAACTGCCAACGGATCGTTTACGTGCATGCCAATGTATACACGGGGCCTGGGTTTTTCGTCCCATCCGAATGACTATGCAGCTGCCCTTTTCATGCGCTAACGTCATACCCACTGATCCACCGTGGCCCACTGCTTTGATTGAAGTCTCTGTGTGATATTTGCATCTATCAGAAAATATCAAATCCTCCTCGACTTAATGTCAAAATATCAATGACTTGGATTCATTTGAACAAAAAGAGTGTCATCAAAATAGCTCAGCAAAAATCATAGACTAGTGACCATATTCTATTATCGGCTTTAATGAATGTCGAATGTTGACAAATTTTCAATTCAATATATTATATTTCTTTAAATGGTAATTGGAACATGATCAATTTAAACCCTATTTATGGATACCAATTAATATAGTTTATAACACTGCGACGTTTCAACAAGTTGTCACAGGTCGTTATCAAGCATATAAATTAAATGAAATGGGGTTTAACGTCCTACTGTTTTGCTCCGAACTCGGCTAATGAAGACGTGCATACGCCATACAGTGTGCTAGGAGGGAAATTTTGCCCAGACAGCGGCACTGCGGCCTACTCTTATATCGAATTCCAACTGTTAAGGGATCTTTTACGTGAACGCCAATGTGTACACGGGGCCTCGTTTTTTCGTGCCATCCGAACGACTAGACAGCTGTTTTGTCAGGCCCTCCGCCCTGTATCACTAACAAGGGGGAACCACGCTGGAAAATCTGAATGAACTTTCTCGGTCCATGCAGGGATCGAACACCCGACCTCCAGGCTAGCGAGCCAGCGTCTTACCCACTTAGTATCAAGCATATAACACAACTAACTAAATAAATTTGTGCTTTAATAAATTTAAAATCTTATTAAAACGTTGCAGTTGATACACCATAGTAATTGGTATCCATAAATAGGGTTTAAATTCATAATTAACTGTGGAACTTTAATTTTAAAGGCGCTAAATCGCTAGTATTTGTGACATAGAAATTGACACAAATGGGTCGCAACGCATATAACAATGTAATGTAAACGTATATAAACTGATTTACATTCAGTCATTTCTGTTTTTACTCCTAATGTCAAATGTCCAGGAAATAAGCCATGCTCGCCAGATAAGAATATGTCGTCATCGTTTGACATGACTTTTGGAAGATGTCTAGCCTCGTTCTTCGAGTACCTTATTACAAATGGCGCTCAAACTCAAGCTGGTACACGACTTGTGTACCAATGGTAAAATTTTTATTCTGTCTTAAATATTGGATATCACAATTCGTGTTTATAATTAGAGACTTGGCTACTTTAAATATAGACAAATACCCACTTTACAAAGTAAATCAGCACATCAAATTCATTTAAATCGACGTTTTGGTTATTAAAGCTTTTTTTCTTCTATAAATTAAAGCAAAGCAGTTGAGTCAATCTAAATCTGAAATAGTTAAAATTAAATCCACAAGTTGAATGGTAATTTAATCCCAGCAGTTGAGTCAATCTAAATCTGAAATAGTTAAAATTAAATCCACAAGTTGAATGATAATTTAATCCCTGTGTATTGGTCTCGTGTAATAATATTTTAATAAGGAGGAAATATTTGTATAAAACCCAGTGATTTATGACTAATATTGTTACTAGATAGCGGAAATTATAGTTTATAATAGGAAATTCACAATTATATTTGGTTAGGATTTCACACTGAGTGGAATAAAATGAAATGAAAAAGAAATGGGATGTAACGTCCTACTGTTCTGTTCCGAACTGGGCTATTTCTTTGCCCCATATATTCTCGCGGGAAAGGAGAACAAAAATACATAAAAATAGTAGTGATCCCCGTCGTAATTTACTCCAAAACGAGCCGGTTGGTGACTTGGTTGGTTGCTCGTCAGTCCGCCCACCGTTTCTGAAAATCCTGGATCCGCCCCTGCTATATTTAAGGATATGAATGATTGGCAACCTATATATAAGGATATCAATGACTCATTTTCTCGAGTTAGTTCGTTGGGTTTCTTTTTATTATTTTCGTGGTTGTTTTTCCCACGCAATATTTCTCTCCATTCTTTAAGATATTTATGAAGTTATTATCTGGTTTCAGTTGAACACGTGACTAATAATTTCCTTATTTGAGTTTAAAATCAAACATAGGGGACAATCGTTTAGAATCCTGTCATAAGTTTATTCAATATACCGACTATAGTTAAAGGAGGAAGAAGATTGCTACATCTTGATATAATATCCGCTGTTAATAATATTTCACCAACTTCCCCTTGTGGTTGATCAAGACATACAGTCGTTTAACAGAGAGAACAGGGTATGTAACTGGATTTTCATTTGTTTTTCTTTTAAATGATATTTTAGGTTTTGTGGCCTCTGGTACCCTGCTTGTCATATCTCAATGAACCTCTATATGTAACTGGATTTTCATTTGGTTTTCCTTTAAATGTTGTTTAAAGTTTTTCACTCACCTCACCCCTGTCAAGCACCAACATACCAACCCCCCCCCCCCAACCGTCACCCCTGTCAAGCACCAACATCCCTCCCCACCCCCTCACCCCTGTCAAGCACCAACACACCCACCCACCCACCCCATCCCTCACCCCTGTCAAGCACCAACACACCCCACCCAACCCCCTCACCCCTGTCAAGCACCAACACACCCACCCACCTACTACTCTGCTCCGACTGGGCTAATGAAGATAAACCTACGCCATACAGTGTGCTATGATGGAAATTTTGCCCGGACAGCGGCGATACGTCCTATTCTTATAGCGAATTTGATGGAAATTTTTCAATATATTAATTATTTTTATGTATTTTTGAACTATTATAGACAGAATGGCTTGCTCTTTATCTAAATCATACAGTAAACACTTGTATTCTATCGATGGTTAAAGTAGCTAAGTCTCTAACTAAATATCATCCACCGTGAAAAGATGGGCTTCGAATATCCAATATTTAAGGTTGCGTGTTCGATCCCAGCATTGGGCGAGAAAGTTCATCGGGACTTTTCGACGTGGTTTACCCTTGTCAGTGGTGCAGGGTAGCTGTCTAGTCGTTCGCATGGTACGAAAAATCGAGGTCCCGTGCATACATTAGCGTACACGTAAAAGACCTTTTGGCAGTTGGAATTCGATATGAGTAGGCCATTGTGCCGCTGTCCGGGCAAAATTTCCCTCATCGCAAATTGTATATGCCCGTGTTCATTAGCCCAGTTTAGGAGCAGACCAGTAGGGCGTTAAACCCCATTTCATTCCGTTTCAGCGCCATTTGTAACAAGGGACTCGTAGAACGCGGCTAGACATATTCCACAAGTCATCTCAAACGGTGACTTCATATTCTTAAAACAGAAATGATTGAATGTAAATCAGTTTATATACCTATTACATTATTATATGTGTTACGGCCCATTTGTGTCATTTCCTAGATACCACATATCCGATCACCGAATGGAACTTCACAGAGGGATAGCTCATTCTCCACCCCTGCGCCGCTAGATCGATTACCGTGAAATTTTCATCTGGAATTTGATTTTTTTTTTCTCTTTATTCCATGAAGCACGGAGCCCTGGCCCCCTCAAGCCCATGGCTAAGCTGGGCTTTGGCCAGATATGTATAGGCAGTCACGTGTCCAGGGCCGGGAAAAGATGTACAGGCAACCATATGTCTCAAAATGAAAAGAAATGAAATGAAATGAAATGGGGTTTAACGTCCTACTGTTTTGCTCCGAACTGGGCTAATGAAGACGGGCAAACGCCATACAGTGTGCTATGAGGGAAATTTTGCCCGGACAGCGGCACTACGGCCTACTCTCATATCGAATTCCAACTGCCAAGGGATCTTTTACGTGCACGCCAATGTGTACACGGGACCTCGGTTTTTCGTCTCATCCGAATGACTAGACAGCTGTCCTTTTCAGGCCCTCCGTCATGCATCACTGACAAGGGGAAACCAATGTCTCAAAATACTGACATTGATAAAATCAAAAGGGGTGAAAATAATATCTTTACGCCCACATCGACAATGAGCCCGTACCACCTCTCCCGTGCGCCCTTTCTCACCCAAAAATAAATGCCAGTCCCGTTAGACTGGAGGCTCAGCGCGGGGGTTTGGGGGGGGGGGGGGTCCATCAAATGGGCACACAAACCAGACCCAACTTTTCTTGAGTAAAATTTTGTGTGGAATACGATGCCGAGTGGTAATCAGTCCGCCGTTGGGGAGTTTTCGAGATATTCGGGATCAAAGGTCAAATGAGTTCATTTGCACTGAAAGTAAATGGGCAGCCATTCTTGAATTATGAAAAGAAGCTGAAAATCGAAAGTAATCAAACTTTCAATAAAAATGTAAACTTGCGAAATTCACCTTTAGTCTTAGTGACCCTGGAGGTCAAAAGGTGAATTTTCCGATTTTGCACTAGGAAGATTTAAAGCAATAAAATGTCAACGTAAAATATAAAAACTAAAGCGAAACCTGTTCTATTTAATAATAGGAACATTTAAAATTTATCTTTAGGGGGTCTTAGCACCAAACTTTTACTTTGGAACGTCGAAAATGATCTTGCATAACAGAACCAACGCACTTTGAAACCTGTTTCAAAAATACGTAAAAACTGTCAAATCGAAATCTCTCCGATTTATTTTCACAACGATTGTTGTACATAACGATACTAGTTATCTGATAAACAATTGAATAGTTTCAGTGTTGGACTCCAGCCTGCAGGCCGCGTGGATTTCCGAGAATCCCAGTCTAGGAAAAACGACGTTAATCTGTGACGGGAAAACACGTATCTGACGACGAGATTAAAAGTTTGCAAATTTTTTATGAGTTTTTATGAATTTCGCCGGCACTTGGATGCAGATAAAACCGGCGAATGCTTTGTATATAGTAGTTCACAGGATATATATGTCATATTGGTAAATGTTAGCGGGGAAAATTTGGGCAGGCTTTGTGACGCGGCCTGCAGACTGGAGTCCAGCCATGAAACTATTCAATTGGGTTTTTTTTCAGACAACTAGTATCATTATGTATAACATTCGTTGTAAAACTAATTCCGCGAGATTTTGATTTAACAGTTTATAAATCAAAATGAGTCCCAATGGAGCCGATGAACCTATATCACACGTTCCCCTTGGGCTGGATTATCTGATGTCGGAAGTTGACCCACCTGATCCGACTAAATCATAACGCGCCACAAAAAAAAACGTACATCGGTACTAAGCGTTTCTTACAATCCCGTCTCATGCTTCTTGTCATGCACGATTATTTTTCTAAAAAAAACCTTTTTATGGAATATTTAACAGATTTATAAAAGGACGGAAGACAGAAATTGAATGAAAGATGTTGAAGATACCTTATTCAAGAGAAATGGCCTGTGTTACTACTGTAATAGCCTTCGTCTTTCAGCTATTAGCTGTATGGACGCCTCACTGGATCCATACTCATGAGGGTCAGGTTTTAACCAATTATAGTGGTTTATGGGAGACGTGTGATATATATTATAATAAAGACAACATTAGTTGCTTCACGTGTAAATATATTCACATAGATCAACACAAAACACAAGATGGTGAGTATATAATATACGTCATAGTTCACTGCATGACGTCATGATATTCCCCATGTTCCTGATGCAACGACTGCGAGTTTCACAACATCTGGCCGTTGCTTGTTTACTTCACAATTCCCGAATTTATAGCTATGTTATCTACAGACACGTGGGCAATAGCCTTCAATCAGAGGTAGTGACATCGCGACCTCCACGGAAACCTTGACATTGAATGAACCTTGAACTGTGCAACTCGGTTATCACAGGTAGACATTTTAGCTTTAAAGCGCGAGACTTGGTATTCGCGACGATCGAGGAATCTGATAGGCTCACAAGTTGGGCTTGTGCCCAATCGAAATTAGTGCCGCAATATGCAGGGTATTACGTGAAGACCTTGATAAGATGTACGGAGTTAAAGCGAGATCAAGCCTTCTATTGAAGATGACAAAGCTGCAACTTTGGTTATGGGAATAGCCATCTTCAGTAGAAGGCTTGATCTCGTCTGTAGATAACATAGCTATAAATTCGGGAATTGTGAAGTAAACAAGCAACGGCCAGATGTTGTGAAACTCGCAGTCGTTGCTTCAGGAACATGCAGCTTTGTAAACTTTTGTAAAGTCTTTCGTTTCTTGTCCATCGACTGTTTTTGATGAAATAAGATAATTATAAATATCTCCGTACATCACATTAGGCCAGTATCTCTCATCGTCAAACCAAGCAGTAATTTCATCTAAATCACAAGTTATGTTTTTTAATTCATTACACAGTAGTTAAATAGAGAATCTCCTACTAGTCTTTTTTGATATCAAAAAAATATCAACACTCGTTTGATAAAGTAAATAAACGAGTAGAAGAGTAGGAGATTTTATTTATCACCCAATCCTTTCTTACATGCACAAATAAATAAATATAATTCTTTGTTATAGATTTCACTTTTACTGAATCTGATTACATTACCGGCGTAGTGATACATCATATTTTGACAGCAATTCAACCATTGCAAAGTCCTTTATATTGACCCAGTGTTTCCATCAATGTCGGTTAAATAAAATAGTTCCTTTTTAATAAAAAAAAAAAAATAGGGTTACTTTTAATAAAAGAATGAATATTTCTTTGAAAATAAAAAAAGTAGTATCGTTTTAATTGACTAATCAAATTCATGTAAAGCGATATCGCAGCAGATTATAAAATTTATCATACAAGCGTTATCTACTGTAAAATGTGTATTATTGGGTGATAATAAATCTTATCAAAGAACAGAGAAATTTGACGGGTACTAGCTAAAGAAGCAATATAAAGGGGTATAAACAGAAAAATGCGAATATAATTTCATTCCGCAAAAATGAGTGCCGGGATTTTTTACTAACTATTGTGTGGGGTGATGCAAAATGAAATGAAATGAAATGAAATGGGGTTTAACGTCCTACTGTTCTGCTCCGAACTGGGCTAATGATGACGGGCATACGCCATACAGTGTGCTATGAGGGAAAATTTGCCTGGACAGAGGCACTACGGCCTACTTTTATATCGAATTCCAACTATCAAGGGATCTTTTACGTGCACGCCAATGTGTACACGGGACCTCGGTTTTTCGTCCCATCCGAACGACTAGACAGCTGTCCTTGGCAGGCCCTCCGTCCTGCATCACTGACAAGGGGGAACCACGCCGGAAAATCTGGTAAAACTTTCTCGGCCAATGCAGAGATCGAACACCCGACCTCCATGCTAGCGAGCCAGCGTCTTACCCACTTATCCACGTGATCTCCGTGGGGTGATGCAATTACCAACCGGAATTCAGAGTTTTAGAAAATTCCACAATTCTGATTCAGAGTGTCCGTCAAACTCAAACTGCAGTTTGGGGAAAAATTTCAAGATTTTTATTTTATTTGTTGTGTATGTGTGTGTGTGAGAAAGAGAGAGAGAGAGAGAGAGAGAGAGAGAGGGGTGAGAGAGAGAGAGAGGCGGGGGCGGCTTTTAACGCCCATTCGACACAAACTAACATATCGTAGTAGATTTTAATTTCGTTTAAATTGACTAAAATCAAAGCAGTCTGATTTCTTTAATAGAAGTTCTAATATTAGTCTACTTTTGAATTCCAAATATAAAACCTAAACTATATGTTACACAATATCTATTTTCAGTATTTATGATACATGTTCAGTTATTAGCCGTGAGTGCGCTAATAGTGATGGGCGTGGTGTTACTGTTACGGCTAGCCATTCTCTGTTCGTGTTTAGATATATGGAGTTATTGTATCCGGGTGATGATTATTGTAACGACCATATTATCAGGTAAGATATATAGGTAATACACAACCTTCATATCACCATATTATCAGGTAAGATATGTAGGTAATACACAACCTTCATATCACCATATTATCAGGTAAGATATATAGGTAATACACAACCTTCATATCACCATATTATCAGGTAAGATATATAGGTAATACACAACCTTCATATCTTAGTTAAAGAAACCGCTTAAAGCGAGAATTTCATATTTTCTAAACCCAAAGTCAAAACATATTTATTTCCATGTCTTTTGCTCAATAGGTTATCAACTCACTATTATACGATCATAGGCATTATTTCCCACACTTAAAAATCATTGACACAGGAAATAATAACACAGTTACCTCCATTGTTTTCCTATTTCCCCCATGGAATAGCTATCTTCAATCGTTTAAACTTGAAGTTAAAAACGATTTTTTGTCAATTTCTCAACTGGCAATAGTGAATTATAGGATTAATAGGATTAATCCTATTGTCTATTGTACACAGGACCGCTACAGGCACTCCCCAGTAGCTTTCAGTTCCCGGGACATATTATCATTATTTAAATGTATTTTGGTGTTATCATTATGTGAATGTATAGTTTGATTATCATTATCTTAATGTATATATGTACGTATTATCATGTTGTGAATGTATAGTTTGATTATCATTATGTAAATGTATATCTGTATTATAATTATGTAAATGTATATATGTATATTTTGTTTGTATATTGTCATTATGTGACTGTATATTTTGTAGGGTTATTATCTTTATGTGAATGTATATTTTGTATATGTATTATCATTATGTTAATGTATATTTTGTAGGGCTGTTATCGTTATCCAGTGCCATCTTGTATGCAGCAGCTCTATGCCCTACATCAGATGTTAAACATTCCATTACAACTATAAAAGGCTGGTCATTTGGTTTGGAGATTATTGCCAGTATTCTCTGTGTTCCAGCTGTTACTATTACTCTAAGAGAATTTGACAGGTTTAACAGCCTTTAATATATTTATACTATATTGTTTCGTTTAAAGATGGGTTCCCAGAAAATTATTTATCGGGTGGTTATTTCCAATAAAAGTATGGTAATTTTGGTATATATGGAAAGTAGAGATATCCAATCTTACTAGAAAAATACTGAATTCCCCGAAAAACACTCATGAAGCGTATACAGGACAAATATATAAGGTTCCCCTGATCAACAGCCCGACGATTAGGAATTTCTGCACGCGTGATGTCAAAGGTCACGCGCGAACATTGAGCGCTTGATGTACAAGTTGATAAACTTAATGAAGAGTTAGACGTACAACACTTGCTGAGATAAAAATGACGGAAAAAGACGCGGGTAGTGGATAATCCGAGAATTTAATTAGGATTCGATATTCGTAATAAATAGTAAGCGATTAAAGACAACATCGTCTTATGTATGCAATGAATTCTCCTCTGACTTCAAAGAGAGGTAAGTCACGTGACGTAAACATGACCTGGTTTGATCGAATTTTTATAGCAGGACATTCCTTCGCAATTACAATATTTGAGAAGGATTTGAAGCAAAGTTATGACAAATTAATTTGTTTGAATATATTTTTAGTCATTAAATCACCCAGTTTGTACGCGGGAATCCATCTTTAAAAAAAAATTGGGGTCGGGGGGTCTAGTGGTTTAATGCGTGAAATCATGGGGTCAAGTGGCGTGGTTTCGATTCCCCGCTTGAACGTGACAAGGAGTCGGATCGCCTATCTAGCCTCGTGGATTTTTCCGGTTTGCTTCAAATGTTAAAGATCCCTATCCGCAAGCGAATTACTGAATACAATTGAACCATATGTGAGTCCCGAAATGACCTAGTTTGTGTCGGGTGTATGTTACACGGATATAATGAGATGAAATGTGGTCTAACGTCTCACTGTCTACTGTTCTACACCGACTGGGAAGACGAGTCTTTCGGATAAGCCTGGGTGCTGTCTATGACTATCTTTTCTTCGAGACAAAGCTGTTGTGTGGGTGTGGCTGTCTTTTTCTATTGAATCGGGTTGATCCGAGTCCCACTTGTACATGACAAGGAGTAGGGTCGCCTGTTCAAACTTGTGGGTTTTCCCCGGGTTCACTTTAAGACTTCCTGGTTTCCCTGTTGGCTTGTTAATATGTTAGCTAATCTCGGTGGGGTTGTTGATAGAGAATGGAGTTTTACGTCCTGCACAGCTGGACAATCTCCAGGAACACTCTCGGTTAACATCGGGACCGGACCTCCAGGTTGGCACACTAGAGTTTTACACACTGAGCCACCGCGGCTCCCCATGCACAACACAAAGATACCCTTGTAAATGGGATTCGAACAGGAGAAGGCAGAAACGTGTCCGATTCTCCCGACAAAATTGATCATCTTACCGCAGAAAAGTTCCCACATAAAAAAAAATAAAATCATATTGTTTATCTGCATTCATTCCTTTTTGAGCACATAGCTTCAAACTTGGGCATTTCCGGCCCATGCCTTGAACTCTTGTTTTTCAAGCACATAGCTTGAACACATGGCTTTTCGAACACATTGCTTGAACCCAATGTTAAGTGGGTAAGGCGCTGGCTCGCTAGCCTGGAGGTCGGGTGTTCGATCCCTGCATTGGCCGAGAAAGTTCATCTCGATTTTCCGGCGTGATTTCCCCTTGTCAGTGATGCAGAACGGAGGGCCTGACAAGGACAGCTGCCTAGTCGTTCGGATGGGACGAAAAACCGAGGTCCCGTGTACACATTGGCGTGCACGTAAAAGATCCCTTGGCAGTTGGAATTCGATATAAGAGTAGGCCGTAGCGCCGCTGCCCGGGCAAAATTTCCCTCATAGCACACTGTATGGCGTATGCCCGTCTTCAATTAGCCCAGGTTAGGTGCAGAAGAGTAGGACGTTAAACCCCATTTCATTTCATTTCATTTCAAACACATGGCTTTTCGAGCACATAGCTTGAACCCTGAGCTTTTCGAGCACAGCTTAATACCCCGTTGGCTTTTCTGGCACATACCTTGGACCCCGGGCTTCTCGACCACATACCTTGGACCCCGGGCTTCTCGACCACATACCTTGGACCCCGGGCTTCTCGACCACATACCTTGGACCCCGGGCTTCTCGACCACATACCTTGGACCCCGGGCTTCTCGACCACATACCTTGGACCCCGGGCTTCTCGACCACATACCTTGGACCCCGGGCTTCTCGACCACATACCTTGGACCCCGGGCTTCTCGACCACATACCTTGTACTCTGTGTTTTTTTCAAGCAACTATTAACGTGATAAATGCTTTTGTTGCTTTGCTAGCCTGGAGGTCGGGTGTTCGATCCCTGCATTGGCCGAGAAAGTTCATCTGGATTTTACGGCGTGGTCGCCCCTTGTCAGTGATGCAGGACGGAGGGACTGACGACTGACAAGGACAGCTGTCTAGTCGTTCTGATGGGACGATAAACCGGTTTCCTGTGTACACATTGGCGTGCACGTAAAAGATCACTTGGCAGTTGGAATTCGATATAAGAGTAGGCCGTAGTGCCGCTGTCCGGGCATAATTTCCCTCATAGCACACTGTATGGCGTATGCCCGTCTTCATTCGCCCAGTTCATAGCAGAACAGTAGGACGTTAAACTCCATTTCATTTCATTTCGTTAAATGTTTTTATCTGTGTCTAGTTAATTGTATATGATTTTATTTTCAGATCTGCTTATCAGCCTATAAACAATAAATACCAGTGACATGTGTACGATTTCTAAAATTAAGGGGTTGAGGGCACCCAAATGCTTAAAAACTTGACATTGAATGAAATGCGGGTGCATAAATATCTTCAAAGCAGCAGTATCATCATCTGGCACCATAACCCAACACATTTCGACAGCTAAAACCAAAGTCGGAGGAGGGACTTAACCCAAATCCCAAACACCAAATACGTCTGTAGTAAATTCAATCAAGAATATATACTTGTTGTCCTTGATTGTGTTCTACAACCATGACCAGCCAACATAACAACCATTGTAAAACTAAACTAACATGGTGTGTACATAGTATACTCTTTGTGGTGTTTCGTCTGATATCTGCTGCTAGCTTTATACATTGCTGTTAACGTCACCATTTTGGGGCCTATGTCGTGTAAAATCGCAAGCCTAAGTATTAAACTAAGACCGGAGACTGTTACCTAACTTTTGAGTCTGAGTTTTGTTTTACACAGCTCCCTGTGTCTAACGTTTGAGCCTGAGTTTGTTTTTACTCAGCCCCCTGTGTCTATAGGCACGCCTTGGTGGAAGTGTCATGTGTAGTCGGCTGATGATTCAGCTAGTCGCTTCCTGTACATTTTATGTTTCACTTAAATACAAAGTTTTTCTGTGCTGATGCTGCTTGTGCGATCTATAGTAGCGTTACAGTGATCTAATAAATCAAACGAGGCCAATCTTGTTTTCAACTAACCAGGCTAATCAAGACCAGGGGACGGGTGGGGTGGGGTATGCGTGTGCTTGAAATCACAAGGTCTGTCATTGAGTCAAGTGCCGTGGTTTCGATTTCCCGCTTGAAAATGACACACAGCAGGGTCGCCTGCCAACCTCATGAGATTTCTCTGGGTCCTCTGATTTCCTCCCACTCCCAAAGACCTCTACACGCAAGCGAATTATTGAAATAGAATTGAACCATATGTTAGTTCCGAAATGACCTAGTTTGTGTTTGGACGTTAAAAACACTATTATTCTCTCCCGCTAATGAAAATGGGCGAACGGCATGCAAAGATATGTGGTTTCAATACTGAGGACTACAGTCTTTCACAGCAGCAATGCATGCAGTTTGCTATGATGAGAAAGTTTCTTATCCAGACGATGGCACTCTTCATGGAATTCCAGCTGTCTGACGTGCACACCAACAATTACATTTGGATCTGGGATTGTCATCTCTGGGATTGTCATCTCAGGGAGGGTGGGGGGGAAGCATGATTGAAAGAATTACCTCAGCCAGCAAGTACACTGTATCTCGGATTATCATCCCAGAGGGAGGGGGCATAATTGAATGAATTACCTCGGCCAACTCATAGTGAGCCACCACAAATACCTAGATCCTGTATCATGGTACCAAAAAACATGTGTATCGTTATCATATGATATGATATTACATATATAAGTTGTAATCTATAGTCCCATCTTAAGCCGTCTGAGAACAGTCGACAACACTAAGTATTTTGCAAGAATTTTGAGAGGATTGAATATATCCTGCTTTTTTTTAAAACAATTGAAAAGATGTAAAATTAGTCCTTTTTGTGTATAACAAATGTGAACCCGAGTGGGACCGTAATATACAAAACAGTATATTTAGAGTTGATAATTCGGTGTGTCCAGAATACTATAGTCTGAGATCCACAAGCCTAGAACTCAACCCTAAAGACTGTTCAGACACTCTTACAAGCTGGCAAGAGTCAAAGCTACCGTCTAGGGCAGTTATTCTCAACCAGTGTGCCGCGAGATCTTCCTTAGTGTGCCGCGAAATTTTGAATAAGGACTCCAAAAGTGCTGTATAAACTGTTGTTTGTTTGATTGGTTCGTAGAATCAAGTTACGATCAAGGGCAGAATAATCTGAATTCGTAAAAACCCCGTGGGTCGACCTAGAGATTAGTTGAGTAGAACGGAACGATATCACCGGGGAAATCGAGAATGACCTCCCATCTGCATGAAGGCAATTGTCTTAAGCAATTACAATATTGTACCTATATGTATAGCAATATTGCCGTACCAAGATTTCACAAGTCGTTATCAATCATATACACAAAACTATATTTAGCTGGCTACTCTGGTACCGATATTATTCCGCGGTAGTGATGCAACCAAGATTACATTTTCTTGGAAGTAAGAACATGGACCTTATATGTATTATAAGGTACATGTCCATGATAAGACTATGTAATAAAACTTCAAACAAAATACCAGGGGCGTAGCTTTAGAATGGCTCCGAATATGGCATTCTGTACACATAGAACTATATATCTACACTACTCTGTCCTTAATGGCCACCACATCCAACAATTAGTTCACGGTTTTTGAATGCGAGTTTACTCCAGGGCCCTATTTCTCGAAATCTTAACTAGAGATAAAATCAAAATTTTAGTAGATACTTCAATTTTGATTGGCTATATAAACACTAAAATCAATCTAATATTATTCAATCAAATTACTAAAATGTGGATTTTATATTAGTTAAACTTTCGTGAAACAGGCCCCAGTTCACATCTGTTATAAACTCAAAGATTAAATAAACCAATTCAATTATATTAAATGGAAGTAGCATTCTCCAAATACACTTAAGTGTTATCGATTACAATCTTCTATTCGGGATTTAAAATGTCGGTCAACTAGCTTAAAGGGCCAATCCCGATAATATTTTGGAAATTAAAAACTGCTTAATTTTGTGTTACAATCCTCTACCTTAGGACCGAGCATCTAACTCAATATACGTAATACGTTTTCAAACAGCTTAAACCTGTCAGTCTTCATCTGGAAATGGAGACCGGTGTCACAAGCTGTATTATGCGGTGTCCAGATAAAACCAGACTTTTATTTTATAAAAATAATATGTAGGTGAAATTTACCTTTCATTATCAAGTACAACACATGGGTCATTCAATTATAGACCTCTAAAGGAACGGGATTCGTTTATCAGGTCACCCAACGAAAAACTTGACCCGAAATCTTAAAAGGGTTGCGTGTCCGGATAAGCAGTTTTGACGTTCACGTCCAAACGACCCAATATTTTGAACTAAATTTTTGAGACAAGGTAAATATACCATATTCCTCTATATTTTGGCGCTTAAATTTCATACCTACTCAGACTTTTATTTTTGGGACTCTGTTCAAATCGGGATAGCACCTTTAATGCCTGTTCTCAAGCGGAGCTAGTTTTGGACAAACAGCGTAAGTTGAGTATGCGAATATTAGTTAACCCTCATTACGAACGTGGCCAATGGAACATCATCGTATATCAGATTGGCCTTTTAATTTTGATGAGTCATGTGAATGTTTGAATAAGGGGAGATAAGTATGTATGTATCCACACGAGCTGTTGTTGATCAGTGAACCATTGCCGTTATAATAGGTAAGTTAATCAAACATGTTTTCACTGATATGTAATATACCTCGTATAGTTTCTATAATAACACCTCTACTATATATACAGTGCACGAACTCTATACAAATAGTGTACGCACTAATAGCTTTACATATTCAGCTATCAGTACACTGTGGAACCCTAAAGGCGACTTGTTAGACCGCGAGTTATATAGACTAACAGCGTACTACGGTGTCTGTTGGCTGATCGAGGTATGTATTTTATGAGTCCGGACTATCGTTACTGCGGTACGCTGTAATAACTTTGAGAAATCGCCTTATAATCAATGCATGAAGCCCGATTCGCTTAAGAGGTTTTATTTTTTTTTTATATAAGCATGCATAAAATCTAAATATAACTCGGAGGTCACTACGCTGTTTGTAACTCGCTGGTTTAAGTAAATCTCGATTTGATTGAGGGTGAACTGGTTACGAGAAAATTTGATAACTATAAATCGTGGTTACGACTGCTTCCGAGTAAGTCGACTTCCTCTACTGGTTACAAGGTGAATGACTTTCCTTGTTGGTGAACTGTAGTAGAAACGATATTAATGTAAGTTAGTATATTTTATATCACCGGAGACGTAAAGGGGAATCTGTAGTAATTAAGACAAATCGAATGAATGAATGAATGAAATGGGGTTTAACGTGCTATTTTTCTTCCCGATTTTCCGACGTGGTTTCCCCTGTCTTTGGTGCAGAACGGAGGGCCTGACAATGACAGCTGTCTAGTCCCTCGGATGAGACGAAGGTCCCGTGTATACATTGGAATGCACGTAAAAGATCCCTTGGCAGTTGGAATTCGATATAAGAGTTGGCGATAGTGCCGCTGTCCGGGCAAAATTTCCCTCATAGCACACTGCATGGGGTATGCCTGACTTCATTAGCCCAGTCGGAGCAGAACAGTAGGATGTTAAACACCATTTCATTTCATTTTACGTGTATATTATCAGGCCAATGTAGGCCTATGTTCTCGGTTAATGTTCATCGATGAAATATTGTAGTAATAATGTACTCATCAATCCCATTGAGCATTGTACGCATGTAATATATAGTGCATTATAAGCGAACAGAAAACCAAATGAAATGGGGTTTAACATCCTACTGTTCTGCTCCGACTAGGCTAATGAAGACGGGCATACGCCATACAGTGTGCTGTAAGGGACAATCTGCCCGCACAGTGTTCCGCGCTACGAAGTTGTAATTTAAATGTTGAATCACTGACCGGAACACGACTTCACAATCAGTATCAACAATCAATGGTTTATAAATATAAGGCCGCGTAAAAAACAAATTTGGTTAACGTTGCCTAGCTACTGCTTTAACAATGTATGGAATAGTGTTTAACTTAACGCGCTCGGCACACCCTTTGATAAGTATTAGGTAGTATTTGATATGTATTAAGTAGTATTTGATATGTATTTGGTAGTATTGGGTTATTATATACTTGATTTGGGTGATATTGGGAGGCAAATGGAACGGCCATGACATCGGTAATCCCATTTGAAGTACATTTCCCACGATATATCTCACTATTTTTGAAACAAATCAAGTAATATGCTCATTTGGCACCATTATGTTGTAGTATTGGGTAGTATGTGGTGATATTGGAGTGGTATTCGGTGGTATTGGGTAAATCGTCCCACCGCCAAATGAGGTTTAAGAGGTTAAAAGTCACAATCTCCTGGGAATTTAAAATAATTCGCTACCTGTCAAACCGCGGCGTAATTTTGCAATACGTGTTGCGGATAGCCCTTGTTGTCACAGTCCCTGTTGCGGATACCCTCTGTTGTCACAGTCCGTGTTGCGGATACCCTCTGTTGTCACAGTTGCCAGTAATAGGGTGTGTTTTACGTCCACGGCAACGTGTACCCGGGACCTCGGTTATTCGTCCCATCCCAACGACTAGACAATGTCCCTTGCCCCCTCCCCTCCCCCGCCCCCTTCCTGCCTTGATGAATGTTTTCTTATTAACCATTGGGATATACAGACAGTAATATAACATTAAACCTAAAACAATGTAGTTATATTCATTTATTAAAAGATTAAAAACCGACGTACATGACCATTGAAAACAGAGTACGATTAACAATTGTTTTATTAGTTGGCCTAATTTGTGTGTGAAATAGCTTTATTTAACGTCCGCTTCCACCGAAGTGATATGGCAGACAAGTTGGCCTAATATCAACACTCGAAAAATCAATGGTTGTTAACCGTTACATGCGCAGTAGTTGATTAAAGTTTTACTTGGCCTGATGACAACACTTAAACTGTATAGTTTACAGTTACATGCACTGCTAACTGCCGGTGTTAAAATCTAGGACGGTTGTATTCTTGGTATAGTTTATTAGACTATTGATAATATCCAGGGTGAATTTTAACTTTCACAGTCAATGACTGTAGGATTGCGAATGGTACCAGTTTACTGTTAAATGCATTGTTAACTGCCTATGTTAAATTTAGGACGGTAATTATCTTAGTGTACTAGTGTAGTTACTGGATTATCGATAACGGTGGATTTGGACAGATTTTGGTGAAGAGTGGATTTTAGCCTTTACGATCGACGGCTGTAGTATTGCGAATGGGAAGCCAGGGTAATATGAAACTAACTATACGTGAACAATAACATGAAATGGGATTTAAAATGTAATGAAATAAAATGGAGTTTAACGTCCTACTGTTCTGCTCCTATACTGGGCTAACGAAGACGGGCATACGCCATACAGTGTGCTATGAGGAAAATTTTGCCCGGGCAGCGGCACTATCGCCTACTCTTATATCGAATTCCAACCTCCAAATGATCTTTTACGTGCATTCTAATGTATACACGGAACTTCGGTTTTTCGTCTCATCCGAAGGACTAGACAGCTGTCCTTGCCAGGGCCTCCTTTCCGCACCACTGACAAGGGGAACCACGTCGGAAAATCAGGATGAACTTTCTCGGCCGAAATGGGATTTAACAGTTTTCTGCTATAACTGGGCTAATGAAGACGGACATACTCCATGCAGTGTGTTGGGGAGGGGGTTTGTGCCCGGGCAGTGGCAATCCCGCCCAGTCTTCGCACAATGCCAATAGTTTATGCTTGGTTACCACTGTCGTGCGATGCGTTGCGATAGAATTGTTCCTACTCAGTCCACGATCTGATATGCGCAGATACGTTCAGATACGTTTCGGTACGATCCACACGATTGCTAAGACTAATTCCCCCGTCAGACCCGGTGGCGTCCTTTCTGCGCTGCTGCGACCGTACAGCGACTAGAAAATGCACAAGGTCGCCGGCAAACGTAAACACGAGAAATTGTCCCAAAAAATTTACAAACTTGATAAAAGTCTCGTTCTGTACCCCATCAGACCGGGTTGGCGCCTTTACTGCGCTGCTACGGCGACGGAAAATGGCCCCAGAGCGTGTCAAGATCGCCATAAGCGTGGTAAAAGCGTGGTGGAAACGCCAGATATCGCGCTGTGGTCTCGATGATCGCAAATGATCGCCGAGTCACGGTGTTTGTTTTGAACATGTTTAAAACAAACGCCAAGGTTCTGCGATCTGCCCTGGAAAGATGTGAAAACGCAAATTTTTTTTTCAAGTTTGTAATATTTTGGGACATTTTCGTACGTTGTGTTCACGTTTGCCGGCGACCTTGTGCATTTTCCGGTCGCCGTACGGTCGCTGCAGGGCAGTAAGGACGCCACCCCGGTCTGACTGGGGCATTACAACTTGCAAGGTTTGATCGCACAGCCTTGACGTTTGTTTTGAACATGCTTAAAACAAGCGCGGTGACAAGGTGATCATTCACGACCATGGAGACCACAGCACGATATCTGGCGTTTCCACCAACGTTTACCGCGCTTATGGCGATCTTGACGCGCTCTGCTACCATTTTCCGTCGCCATAGCGTGGCAGTAAGGACGCCACCCCAGTCTGACGGGAGTATATGATAAGACCTGATAGGATCACCACGATTACTCCACGATTAAAACCACGATTTCGTGATAGTATGGAAACCTAGTAGGGTCTTTACGGACACACCAACTCGTACATGGGACCTCATCTTTCCATACCATCTGAAGGACTAGAGACTCAGTCTTAAACTGCTGGCAATGCGTTATTATCGACCCCATGATGTCCTGATTAGTGGGTCAATGCCTTACATATAGAGACACAATGTCTCTATGATAATATACTTTAAATTCCGGAGATTCTTAAGAAATGGAAAGAGGCAAGGACAGTGTCTAGTCGTTCGGATGGGACGCCAAACCGACCTCCCGTGTACACATTGTCGTGCACGTTAAAGAACCCTTGACAGTTGGAATTCGAAATAAGAGTAGGCTGTAGCGCCGCTGTTGGAACAAAGTTTCCCGCATAGCACACTGTTTATATGGCGTATGCCCCATCTTCATTATCCCAGTCGGAGCAGAAAAGTGGGAAATTCAATCACATTTCATTTCATTTCAGTTTTTGTAGATGTTACCACGAAATAAGAATTCTAATTGGTATAAGCTAAGATACAGTTCTATTTATTTCAGCAACCGGAGAAATCAGCAACCACGGTAAGAAAGCATAAAGAGACAATTCACCATGGCGACTGGTCCGTTAAAAATTGTTATGTTCCTGGGTTCAGTCCGTGAAGGAAGGTTAGGGTTACGGGTTGCTAGATTTATGAAGAAACAACTCGAACAAACCAACCATGATGTAGTACTATTTGGTAAGTTCAGACAACGTTATGTAATGCCTCTGGGATGGTGTCCTTACTGCGCTGCTGCGACCGTACGGCGACCAGAAAATGCACACGGTCGCTGGCAAGCGTGAACACAACGCGAGAAAATTTCCCAAAAAATTACAAACTTCAAAAAGGTCGAGTTATCACAGCTTTGCAGGCCAGATCGCAGAATCTTGGCGTTTGTTTTGAACATGCTCAAAACAAACGCCGTGACTCGACGATCATTGGCGTCCATGGAGACTGCAGTACGATATTTGGCTTATGGCGCTCTTGACGCGCTCTGAGATCATTTTCCGTCGCCGTACCAGCACAGTAAGAACGCTACCCCGGTCTGACGGGGGTATAAGTTATGTTATTTGGTAACCACGATGTAACAGTTTGTTCGGTGTAGACAAACGTATTAAAATATCCAATGGTTTCAGGATATACTGTCTGACGGTGAAGACTCGTTGGACACCATGATACCGTCCTTTAAACTGATGAAACGCCTTAATTGACAACTCGAGTCCGTATTATTCTCAAACTGATATGGAGTACAACGTCCGAGAGGCCTTCCAGTATTTTATGAAGGAGGTTTGGCAAACAGTGGCGCTATGGCGTGCTCTTATTTCGAATCCCACCTGTCAATGTGTATAGGGGGCCTCGGCTTTTTGTCCCATCCGAACGACTATACGTTATCCCTTGTCAGGCCCTCCGTCCTACACCACTGACAAGGGGAAACCACGCCAGATTATCCCGATGAACGATCTCGGCCAACACTGAAATCGAACACGGGATAGCTTGTCAAAGTCTTACTCACTAAGCCACCGTGGCTTCTGCTTTCATACTACAATATTATGAAAGACGAATATTTAAAAGAAAAATCAGCCCAACAACGGTTCAATTCTGTTCAGTATTTACAAAGATATGATGAATTAAAATTTCATCAACCTATGTAATAGAGAGAGAGAGAGAGAGAGAGAGAGAGAGAGATGGGGTTTAACGTCCACTCGACACAAATTAGGTCATTTCTGGACTAACATATGGTTTTAATTTTATTTCAATAATTTGCTTGCGCGTAGGGGTCTTTAGCAGTGGTAGGAAACCGGAGGACCCGGAGAAAACCCACGAGGTTGGACAGGCGACCTTACTCCTTGTCACGTACAACCGGGGATTCGAAACCACGCCAGTTGACTCAATGAAGGGCCTCATGATACAGCGCGCGCGTTCTAACCATTCGGCAATCCACCCCACCCCCCACCTATGTAATAAGCCCGTCGCCATTTTGTTGTAGACAAACATTACTGACCGGCCGGCCTGTTTTAAATCCCATTGAATCAAAGTCGGTAGATTATCTTGCGTTGATATTCTAATTTTGTTTTTAAATTTAATGTTAAACAATCAATCTGAATACATATTAGCGTCTAAACCGTGAGAAATTTGATATTTTAGCGACAAATCCAAATCACACATCTTTGGAACCGGATCTGATACATGTTTCATTTTTCAGATCCAAAGGAGATGAAATTTCCGTTGATAGAAAATCCTCTATTTTACTACAAAGATCGAAGTGTTTTACCTGAATGGATGTTGACGGCGGAAAAACAAGTCAAAGATGCCGATGCTTTCGTCATCGTTTCAGGTTGGTAATCCCGTACCCATCAGTAGATTCGCTATAGGTTGGGGGTAATCTCGTATCCACCAGTAGATTCGCTGTCGGTTAATATACTATTCAAAAAAAGTAGGGGATATTTGATTTTGGGGGCATAATACTAAAATATGCAAATGACTACGAAAAAAGTCACTATAGAACCTAACAGAAGAAACATTTCCAGTTACATGTGACGCCCAAACGCACCAATAGCTACCGCATGGAATGCAGGTGATGCTTGGGATCATCATGGGGGTCCAACCCAAGATTTGCACGACTCTGACTTTGAATGTTACAGTCATTGTGGCATTGAATTCCAGGGTGGAAACATCAGTTTAATTGTTTTAGTGACCAGAAAACAAATTTTGATATGCGTCGGCTTACCCAAAATGAAAGGTTACGTGCCCTTGGCATGCTACAGATCGGCACAACACAGGAGGTTGTGGCGCGGACGATGAATGTTTCTCAGTCTGTCATAAGCAGGCTATGGTCCAGATACCGTGATACACAATCTGTACAGGACAGACCACGCTCAGGTCGACCAAGGGCGACAACTCAAGCCCAGGATCGATTTATCCGTACCTTGGCCTTGAGAAATCGTGTCATCACAGCAAATCAGATCAGCGCTCGTCTTCAAACAGACACTGGTGTGAGAGTGAGTGGCCAGACGATTCGGAATCGACTGCATAGGGGTCACCTTCGCGCCCGACGTCCTCGCGTGATCCCTTGTTTGAGAGATCATCACATTCAGGCAAGACGTCGTTGGTGTAGGGATCGTCAACACTGGGATAATCGACGCTGGAGCAATGTGATGTTTTCAGATGAGTCAAGGTTCACTGTTGATTTTTTGGACAGACGTAGGAGGGTGTGGCGTCGTCGAAACGAGCGCTTCCAAGACGTTAACGTCATCAGACATGATCGATTTGGGGGTGGTTCTGTTATGGTGTGGGGAGGCATCACTGTTGCTGGAAGAACGGCTTTACATGTTGTTGCAGGGCGTGTTACAGGCCAGTACTACTGGGAAAACATCTTGGCAGTCCATGTTGTGCCGTTCGCACGACGTCATGGCCGCCGTTTCATCTTCCAGGATGACAACGCAAGATGTCACAGGGCCAGGATCGTTACAGGTTACCTCCAACAACAGAACATCACCACATTACCTTGGCCAGCACTGAGTCCCGACCTCTCCCCCATCGAGCATGTCTGGGACATGCTTGGACAGAGGTTACGTCAACGTCAACAACGTCCTGCCAATGTCCAAGAACTTGCTGCTGCGTTGCAACAGGAATGGGACAATCTGGACCAAAATGACATTAGGAGTATGCCACGTCGGATCAATGCTTGTTTGGCAAACAGAGGAGAATTTACCCGTTACTGACTTGGTTGTGATGCTGTGGTAACTTTGCTGTTTGACCCCGGGTATCATTTTACCCTTATAATGGTCAGTCTGTGCCTTACTTAGTCTAACGATCATTTGGAATAAATCGATGAATGTGAACTTCATTTCATTTTGTCATTTGTTTCTTCGTCAGTTTCATTAGGTGACTTTAATAACACTTAAAAATCAAATATCCCCTACTTTTTTTGAATAGTATAGTAACCTCGTACCCATCAGTTCGCTATAGGTTAGAGATAGTCTCGTACCCATCAGTAGATTCTTTATAGGTTTTTGATAGTCTCGCTATATTCATTTTAGATAATTTTTGCAGCAGAATATATAAACAACAGAGTACATTGCCCCTTGTATAGCCGTGTTCAGTATGGCAGACGATGTTGGCCCGGGCTAATGTAAGTCTGTAGCACATTGTTTTATATTATTTAAGATCTTTTTATTTGATAAATAATTTCAGCTGAATACAACCATAGTATACCTCCCGCCCTATCCAATATGATGGATTATTTTGGTGCCAGCGCCTATAGTTATAAACCGAGTGGTATAGTCTGTTATTCTGCAGGTGGGTTCAAATTATACCTCATAATATATATAACGGGCATCTGACCCGTGTTTGGTCTCCGTTTGGGCAAAACGTTCATCGGATGGTCCCGCGTCGTTCTCCCTTGTCAGTGATTGCAAAACCCAGGGACTGGCAAGAGAAAATGTACAGTTGTTCGGATGGGAGGAAATACCGAGGTCCCGTGTACACATTGGCGTGCACGTAAAAAAACCCCAAGGCAGTTGGAATTCCAAATAAGATTAGGTCGTAGCGCCGCTGTCAGAGCAAAATATCCCTCATGGCATACTGGTGTGCTTTTAGCTAAGATTGGATGCCTTTAGTTCCAAGTGCAAACTCAATTTCTTTATTAATGCACGTCACATTATAAAAATAAGAAAATTTTATACTATTATGACCAATTAAACTTACAGAGGCTAAATATTCACGTTTAAATTAATGAAGCGTTGTTTTTATCCGACATACACCGTCATACATCTACCGTTTAAAAATGGCGTTCTTAGTAACGGCTTAACGCCTCGATTTTAAAACGACGATTTATACCCGCTTCAGGTAGGATTATATATGTTTAATTGCAGTTGGGTGTGGCAGAAATATTATAAATAACAATAATCAATCGTCGTTTTGATGAAAAATATTTTCAGTTTTGCTTACTGAATCGGGATGCGATTCGTGTTCGGCTTTGCTACGTGGAACTATATAGGACCATCTCTTTTATCTCTAAACACGGAGGGTTGAGAGATGAGGTTTGTTATCTAAGTATGGTGTGTGCCCGTCTTCATTAGCCCAATCGTTGCATTTCATTTCATTTCTACGTCACAGGTATATGTCTAGCCTCTCGGTGACATATTCTTCATATAGCGCAACATTTATGTTACATATTCTACGTCATAATTATATGCAAATTATCCTTGTGAAATGTCTACAATGCTTCTGGTAAATATATGATGGGAAAAGGCCAAGGTACAACTTCCACCCTGCCGATAATAATCACCATTGTTGGTATTGTTATAATAAAGGTGTAGTTATACCTTTATATCATCATAGCTTCTATGGAATAAGGTATCGGAGAGATAAAAACATGCGTGCACAAAGTATGTGTGTTGGAGCGAGAAGGAGTAAGAATTGTGTACTCGTGTAGAAGAGAGAGAAATGGGGTTTAATGTCCACTCGACACAGATTAGGTCATTTCAGGACAAACATATGGTTCAATTTTATTTCTATAATTCGCTTGCGCGTAGGAGTCTTTAGTAGTGGGAGGAATCCGGGGGACCCGGAGAAAACACACGAGGCTGGACAAGCGCCCCTACTCCTTGTCACGTACAACCGGGGAATCGAAACCACACTAGGTAACACAATGACAGACCTTATGATACAACGCACACGCGTTAACCAATCGGCCATCCAACCCCTGAAGTCGGAGTACAACAAATCGCTGTTAGATTCATGGGCCAACAAAATATGAAGTTATATGATTTGGTTATAACCTTCTCCTATCCACATCGTTAACTTCCATGGTAAACCTCCCTAAAAAGAAGTATCTACATGTAAACAATGTATTTTTCTTACAGGTATCTATGGTGGAATGAGGGTTGCTATGCAATTACGAGCTTTTCTAGGCGAACTTGGTTGCCTCAGTGTATCAAATATATTTGGAATACCAGAAGCTCAGAAAGCTTTCGATGAAAACGGAATCCCACAGAATAGCCACATGGAATCTGGGGCCAAGAAATTGATTACACAGTTAGACTGGCATGCACATGCTATGAGAAACCATCGTAATACCGCTGGTCTACCCTAATCTTCCTCCTCCGCCATGATAAATCACATTGTGTTTATTTATAATACATGTCACAAAGTTTCTCATTTTAATTTGGATCTGGTTGCGTGGGGTGGGGTGGGGTGTTGATGGTGGTGGGGTGGGGATGGGGGTGGGGTAGATTAATGAATTGAATGAAATTGGGTTTAACGTCCTACTTAATGAAGACGGACATTCATCATACAGTGTGCTATGTGGGGATTTTTGCCCGGGCAGCAACCGAATTCCATCTGTCAATGTGTACATGGGACCTCAGTGTTTTTGCTTGCCAGGCCCTCCGTTTTCCGTCACTGACATGGGAAAACCCGGAGAACATTCTAGACCAATACCGGGATTAAATCCCGCGCTTTATTCCTTAATGGTTGCCAGACACTCCACCTCTGCACCACTGACAGTGACAACTGACAAGACGAAACCACTCAGGAAAATCCCAAAGAACTCGGTCATCACCTTACTCACTGAAGCGCCGTGGCTTCCGCTTTAATTCAATTCATTACTACTTTTGAGTTACGCAACGGTGGTGATCTAGGGTGGGACGAAAAACCATTGTCTAGTGTATACATTGGCGTGCATGTAAACGAACCACTGACAGTTGGAATTCAATAGGTCGCAGTGCCGCTGTCCGGGAAAGATTTCCCTTACAGCACACTGTATATATGGCGTATGCCCGTCTCCATTAGCCCAGCCGGAGCAGAACAGTAGAACGTTAAACCCCATTTCATTTTATTGGGATGATTTAGCCATCAGAGTGAATCACCGCCTTTCTGTCGTGTTGTATATTTTGTAGCACGCCAATGATTATTTCTCAGCGACCAATGTAGTACTACGGACTTCTTTAATTGTTGTGTTTCCTTGTGATCGTAAATAATACTACAGTAATAATAGTTTCACAGCTTTATTGGTAAACTGGAAATAACTTTGCAGGTTCCTCGTTCTCAAATATATATTGGCTTCTTGGGATGATCTGGTGAGAGTCTAGTTAGAACTCACTTCAACCCTTCAATTTATACGTATCTCATTTCGGCAGATCCTTGGTATTTTTCCATTGAAAATACGTAATAAACTTGTTTATTTCCCACCACTAACAGAGATAGATATTACCTTATTTGGTCTAACAACCATAGGTCAATAAACAGCCAGAATTTGATGACTATTTTGACAATGATTATAATTTGACCAAAATATCACTGTTTTTTACGAATAACCATATCCACGTTCATTTAGTACGTCTGATTTGACTTTATAGACAAAAATGAAGAGACAATTTTATAAAGACCCAAAATTGTCTCAAGGGCCAAAGTGCTACACCAAAAGTAATATCATGTATTCTCTAGCCTTTGACATGTCAACTTTATTTAATAGAAAACATTAATAATCAAAATTAGTTGATTCCGTGTGTTTCAAGAAATATTTTTTGGTGTAGTCGTTCAGATAAGACGAAAAACCGAGGTCTCGATTTAGGTAAAAGAACCCTTGCCATAATTCGATATAAGAGAGGGTCGTTCCTCATTATCCCAGTTAGGATAGAGAGAGAGATGGGGTTTAACGTCCACTCGACACAAACTAGGTTCATTTCGGGACTAACATATGGTTTAATTTTATTTCAATACTTCGCTTGCGTGTAGGGGTCTGTAGCAGTGGGAGGAAACCGGAGCCCGGAGAAAACCCACGAGGTTGGACAGGCGACCCTACTCCTTGTCACGTACAACTGGAGATTCGAAACCACGACAGTTGACTCAAAGACAGGCTTTATGATACAGCACGCACGTGCAAACCATTCGGCCATCCAACCCCCCAGTTAGGGTAGAACAGTAGGAGGTAAACCCCTTTTCTTTTCACTTCGTTATTGGTGACACACCACATCTGGGCCGTAACTAGCTCAGAGCAACAAAGGCGGGCTGGGAGTATTCTCAGGGGGTGCTGTAAAAAGTGACGGACAATGTATAACTATTGTTTTAAAAGCCGACAAATATTTTCACGAGGGGGGGGGGGGGGTCTGCACCACATATCATAGCAATAATCATGTTGTCATAGTTAAATGTATCTGAATGGTTTGTATATCAATCTCCCAAACAGAGTTGTCGTGTGGAGAATGTTTGTTTATGTGTATCTATTATTTAGTTTGTATATCTATTAATTGAATAAAGCTGAATCTCTATAAAGTTCGATAAAGTTGTACTCTTGCTTCAAGATAGTGTTTACCATAACGATCATTCAACAGAGATTGGGTTCTTAATTCCACAAAATATTTCCCTGACCTGTCAATCAAGGATCAGTTGGGCGTGTTAGCCAGTAGCTGGTCATTCACCTCTGACTTGCGGTCAGTCGTAGTTTCCATGGTGTGAGCTTATGTGGCTTGCAGATAGGGACGCCTTCTCAACCTTGTGGGTTTACTTCGGGTGCCCTTCTCCCGGTCCCCCCCCCCCCCGTACTTCTGCACCCCAACGTGTGAACCTCGTTTTTGTGTCATCCGAACATCTAAGCCTAACTGGACATGTCAGCTCCTACAGGTGCTATTCCAAAAGTCTTCTCACCCACCGCACGATTCAAACCAGGAGAGAAAGACAGAAATAGGGCTTAACGTCCACTCAACACAAACTAGGTCGACACAAACTAGGTCATTTCGGGACTAACACATGGTTTAATTTTATCTCAGTAATTCGCTTAAGCGTAGGGGTCTTTAGCAGTGGGAGGAAACCGGAGGACCCGGAGAAAACCCACGAGGTTGGACAGGCGACCCTACTCCTTGTCACGTACAACCGAGGAATCGAAACCCAGCCAGTTGACTCAATTACTGACCTTATGCTGCAGCGCGCACACACTAACCATTCGGCCATCCAACCCCCCAATTCAAGCTAGGAATATTCTAGTTGCAAGAAACGCTCGCCCTCTCTATCTCAATAAAATGATATGAAATGGGGTTTAACGTCCTACTGTTCTGCTCCTATGCTGGGCTAATGAAGACGGGCATACGCCATACAGTGTGCTACGAGGGAAATTTTGCCCGGGCAGCGGCACTACGGCCTATTCTTATATTGAATTCCAACTGTCAAGGGATCTTTTACGTTCTGCTCCAAACTGGGCTAATGAAGACGGGCATACACCATACAGTGTGCAATGAGGGAAATTTTGCCCGGGTAGCTGCACTATCGCCTACTCTTATAGCGAATTCCAACTGTCAAAGGATCTTTTACGTGCATTCCAATGTATACACATTTCATCTCATCCAAAGGACTAGACAGCTGTCCTTGTCAGGCCCTCCGTTCTGCATCACTGAAAAGGGGGAAACACACCGGAAAATATGGATGAACTTTCTCGGCCAATGCAGGGATCGAACACCCGACCTCCAGGATAGCGAGCCAGCGTCTTACCCACTTAGCCACGTGATCCCCCTCTCTCCATCTAAATGGTCAAGTTAGTTATTATAAAAATATAATTATATATATAAAACCACAGGTGTATAGTAAGAGTGATAGGTGTAAAACACAGGTGTAGTAAGAGTGATAGATGTAAAAACACAGGTGTAGTAAGAGTGAAATCTAAAGGATTTATCCTCCGAGAGGTCTTCCAGTATTTTATGAAGGAATTTTGGCGAACAGTGGCGCTATGGCCTGCTCTTTTTTCGAATCCCACCTGAATTATAGATGTAAAACCACAGGTGCAGTAAGAGTGATAGGTATAAAAACACAGGTGTAGTAAGAGTGAAATCTAAAGGATTTATTAATAATGACTAGCACCAATTTCTACAAAAAAAGGTTAAATTTTATACGGTAAAATATTCCAGGTATAAACATGTAAACAAACAAACATGGTTTATAACATAACAAACTACAATCACATGGACTTGTAACATTATATCAATTAATCAAACAGTTGATTACTGAAACAAAGGACAACTGCACAGTCCTTCGGATGGTACGAAAAACCGAGGTCCCGTGTAATAATTGGCATGCACGTAAAAGATATAAGAGTTGGCCATAGTGCCGCTGCGGCGTTGAGATGTACTTGACACAAACCTAGTCAGTTCGGGACTAACACATAGTTCAATTTTATTTCAACAATTCGCTTGTGCCTCGGTGTCTTTAGCAGTGGGAGGAAACCGAAGGATTCTGAGAAAACCCACGACGTTGGACAGGCGACCGACCCTACTCCTTGTACGGTACAAGCTGGGAATCAGAACTCTGACACTTGACTCAATCACAGACCTTATGATGCAACGCACACGCTAACCATTCAACCCCCACCCCCTTAAATAACGTAGCATGGGTGACAGATAGCCTAATGTCATGTGCTTTCAAATCTTATTGTATATCATTGAGTCAACCTCACAGCTGTGATTTCGTCCAGTCTTCATCGATTTCCATCTGTCAAGGGTCCCTTAAGTGCACACCAACGCACACAGGACCTCAATTTTTCATCCCATCCAAACGACCAGACACTGTTCCTGGCGAAAACTCTATCTATATCATTTCCGACCAATGCATACAGTTTTTCGTCCCATCCGAACTGCCAGACACTGTTCCTGACTAGAACTCTATCTATTTCATTCCCAACCAACGCACCAACCAACCTATCCAAGACGAACATCGGAGTTCCAACTGACCAATGTAAAACAATTGTTTGACAAATTGACGATGATATCAATCACAATAAGTCGGAGATAAAAATAACTTGCATAAATATACATATAATAATAATAATCTGAAATATCTAATAAATAAATAAATTAATAAATAAATACTAGATAAACACTAAAACATTTAATATCATTTGGCAAAAGGTGCAAAAATATTGCAGGACAGGTGTCCTCTCAATCCCTCTGAAAAATTCTAAAACCCTCTGAAAAACGTAAATGCTGGGTTGGGCAATTCTTCTGGTCACAAGTGCAGTCACGAACGTTCATCAACATAAAGCATGGCTCAAGACTGTTCAACAGCGTAGCCAATTCAATGAAATGGGGCTTTATGGCATGTCAACTCAGGGCCTGTTTCTGATCCAACAAAGCTATAACAGTTTCTAGATGGAACAGGCTTTTTGATACAAGTGAGCTAGAAACTAATATAAAAGCACTATTGACATATAGAAAAAGTCAACATGTTATTATAAATAAACTATGAATATTGTTATAAATAAACTATGAATATGAGAACAATCACTTATTGAACAAGGTTTATAATATAAATGAGCTCTAATCTAATAAAGCACTTCTGACATTAGAAAGATTCAACGTGTTTTTATAAATAGACTATAACATCTCCATATTATTTTATGTGCAATAATATTTTAAAACTACAAAACATAACAATACATATTACAGCATGGATACCAGAAAAACAAAAATCTAAACTCAACTCTGGTGGGTAAGGTTGCAGTGACCGGACCTAAGGATACTGTTCAAGGGGTCATCAACTGTGAAGTAATCATAATGCAGTTAAAAATTACAACAGAACTTAAAAGAGACGAATATGTTAGTTACATTCACGATAAGAATTAGTTATTTTTCTTTGTATAATTTAGGTGGGAGGTCGTAGAACAAATCAGATATTTATAAAGTTGACTAAAATTTATAAACATATTACCCGTGCTTATTGCATATCTAAACTGATTTGATTTTCATATAGCGAGGATATAGATATATAAATACATAGAACAAAAAATTAATGCCTTATTGTTACTGATGGAGTTAAATCATACCATATCATCATGGTTATCGACAGGTACACACATGTTGAATTCTATTTTAATTTGATTAAAATACACATCTATATAACTTTCATGGCCTCTACTACATGAAGATCCGACCAGTTGTAGTGGGAGGTCGCATCAGAGGTCATACGAGCAGCTTTTGACCCTATGACATCAGACTTTTGATAAACCAATCAGCGTTGATGTTTCTATTGAGATTCCCACAGTTCTGTGCACAGCACGCCAAGAACTCGATGCAATAGACCATTGCATTGGCTAATCCCTCATCAACAAGAGATCGGGATATATAACAACTCTTCCAGATCCTGGCTGTAGTGAAGACAATTAAAACGAGGAAATTTTGAACTATAAAAAAAGAAACGAAATAGGATCTGTGTTTTAATCAGATATAATATTTCACAAACTATGACAGACAAGTGCCACAAAAATCTGGTATTATCTTTATGTGAAAACTGATGACAATACCTATCTACCTGCGTTTATGACTCTTAAAATAGGATATTTATGAATTAGAAATGAAATGGGTTTTAATGTTTAATAATGTCCTTCACCAACCGGGCTAATGAAGATGCTGGTTGCTAATGGAGATCTTTTGTCTGGGACAGAATCCAGTACCTTCTGGTTAGTGAGCCAGTGATTAAAACATAACAACCCTAAATCCATGGAAACGGATGGTAACTAACACACTGAGTCACCATGACAACCCTAAATCCATGGAAACGGATGGCAACTAACAGACTGAGTCACCATGACAACCCTAAATCCATGGAAACGGATGGTAACTAACAGACTGAGTCACCATGACAACCCTAAATCCATGGAAACGGATGACAACTAACACACTGATTCACCATGACAACCTTAAATCCATGGAAACGGATGGTAACTAACACACTGATTCACCATGACAACCCTAAATCCATGGAAATGGATGGTAACTAACACACTGAGTCACCATGACAACCCTAAATACATAGGATGATTTTATAAAAATAATCTACTGGTATCTTTAAGATATTTTTCAAACGTGCTTTGTACTTGTTGTGATATGAATATTATGATATGACCTTTAACCTGGAAGTATATACACCTCCCTGCTAAAACTACTCACTGTACATGAACAGCATTACTAGCCAAATGCGAATAAAAATACAAATTTCCATCTTTGCCAATTCAGAAAAATTCCATGTATTCCGATGGAATGATCTTTAAATCTTAGTCGTTTTAAAATTAGAATCACACAAATACAAAATCCCACAAATGACCAACCAGTCTATAGGGTTACAACGGACTGATCAACCAGCCTATTGGGTTACAACCGATTGATCAACCAGTCTATAGGGTAACAACCGACTGATCAACCAGTCTATAGGGTTACAACCGACTGATCAACCAGCCTATAGGGTTACAACCGATTGATCAACCAGTCTATAAGGTTACAACCGACTGATCAACCAGCCTATAGGGTTACAACCGATTGATCAACAAGTCTATAGGGTTACAACCAACTGATCAACCAGGCTATAGGGTTAGAACCGACTGATTAACCAGCCTATAGGGTTACAACCAACTAACAAACCAGCCTATAGGGTTACAATGAGGGCTTTCATTTTAAAAGTTTGCCAGTCTGTCAATATTGTAAGTTATTTTATTTACCCCATATTAGCCAGATATTTGTATCCAATTATTTCAATATACTTTTAAGTGTTTTATAAACAGAAGACCTATAAGTTTAACTATATTTAATTTGTTTTAAGCATAAAAAATAAGGGTTTAGACTATGAAATTTGTATCGTGAGACTGTCTGATGGACAGACCGGCCAGAGACTCCATCTGTCCAATCACTAAGCGAATTTCATCTCATCCGCTCAATCGAACCTGTTCTAGTCTCATGCTACAGCCAATCAAATTACAGGAATTTATATAATCATAATTATAACATAATATCATAAGCATAACATCATTGTTATAACATCAAAATCATAACATTATCAGCATATAACATAATTATAACATCATAATTATAACATTATCATACCTATAGCATCATTACTATAACATCATAATTATATCATAATCATAACATTATCAGCATATAACATAATTATAACATCATAATTATAACATTATCATACCTATAGCATCATTATTATAACATCATAATTATATCATAATCATAACATTATCAGCATATAACATAATTATAACATCAAAATTATAACATTATTATACTTATAACATCATAATTATAACATCATAATTATAACATCATAACATTATCATAATTATAACATCATACTTATAACATCATAATTATAACATTATAACATCATAATTATAACATCATCAGCATAATATCATAACATTATCATAATTATAACATCATAAGCATAACATCATAACATTATCATAATTATAACATCATAATTATAACATTATAAATAAAACATCATAATTATAACATTATAAATAAAACATCATAATAATTTTACACATCATAAAATCATAATTAGAACATCATAATTAGAACATCATAATTAGAACATCATAACATCATAATTATAACATCATAATTTCAAATCACATCACGGATATTGACTTCATGTTTTGGAACCCACGTATAAATCACTCAGTCTAAACCCAGCTTTAGTACAAATATTTCATTTCAACTTGAATAAAATTCTAAACTAGACTAATATTATTTACAGATTATTTCTCAAATTGAGAATAAATATATTTATAAACAACAAACAAATGAAAGTTTAAAACCCTTTCAAACAATACTCCGAGATCTTAAAATGATAAAAAGAAAAGGAAAATACATATATGTTAAAAAGATCACATATACTTTAATCTAATATATTTTACAGGGAATATACAAATATGATACAAATCACTCTGTTTATTATTTCTGATATATAGTATATCTCACAGTGATATTTTCTACTATTTTCATAGACATCTAACAGTGATAAATTCTACTCTTGTCATAGACATCTGGGCCATTTTAATCTCACAGTGAGAAATTCCATTGTGATAAATTCTACTATTTTCATAGATATCTGAACCATTAATATCTTACAGTGATAAATTCCGATGTCATAGACATCTGGGCCATTTTAAAATATCTCACTGTGATAAATTCTCCTGTTGTCATAGACATCTGGGCCATATATATCTGACAGTGAGAAATTCCACTGTTGTCATTGAAATCAGGGCCATATACATCTGACAGTGATTAATTCAACTCTTGTCATAGACATCTGGGCCATTAATATCTCACAGTGATAAATTCTACTCTTGTTATAGACATCTGGGTCATTTTGAAATATCTCACTGTGATAAATTCTCCTATTGTCATAGACATCTGGGCCATTAATATCTCACAGTGATAAATTCTACTCTTGTTAGAGACATCTGGGCCATTTTGAAATATCTCACTGTGATAAATTCTCCTGTTGTCATAGACATTTGGGTCATTTTGAAATATCTCACTGTGATAAATTCACCTCTTGTCATAGACATCTGGGCCATATACATCTGACAGTGAGGAATTCCACTGTTGTCATAGATATCTGGGCCATTTTAAAATATCTCACTGTGATAAATTCTCCTATTGTCATAGACATCTTGGCAATTAATATCTCACAGTGATAAAGACCACTCTTGTCATAGACATCTGGGCCATTAACATCTCACAGTGATAAAGTCCACTGTTGTCATAGACATCTGGGCCATTAATATCTCACAGTGAGAAATTCTCCTATTGTCATAGACATCTGGGCCATTAATATCTCACAGTGATAAAGTCCACTGTTGTCATAGACATCTGGGCCATTAACATCTCACTGTGATAAATTCCACTCTTGTCATAGACATCTGGGCCATTTTGAAACATCTCACAGTGAGAAATTCCACTCTTGTCAGCGATTTACACATCTATATCAATATTTCATATGAGAACATTAAAACATGTCCACGTATGATCTCAATGTCACAGATGTCTGTATTCACATTCAAACCACGCAAGTTGCATAAAAATTACAAACTTCCCAAAATCACAATTTTTCAGAAGGGATAGCAAATGACCAAGATGTTCATTAGCTTCTACAAACCACAAAAATACTTTTACCAAAGTAAGGATTTTAGATTAACCATAAATATCAACTGGGACGAGTTTCACAAAAATTTCTAACTTTGAGAAGAGATAAAAAATGACTACATGTATATATTAGGTTCTCTTTTTCACTTCTGATACAAACTTTCATGACACTTCAAAAATACTTTCATCAAAGTAATAGGTATTATAGATATCTTTTCTGTAAATTTCTAAATAAATTGTTTGTATGAAAACATAGACTAAACCTATCTTTATATGTATCTTTCTAAACAAAAGTATAATTTTTAAAAGAATTGAAATGAAAATCGGAGATATCTTTGATACAAAAACAATATGCATTTCTGATCACCTTAAAACAAAAGAGATCTCCGAAACATTTGATATTCAGCCAACATTTAATCATAGCACCGATTAAATCAAACAAGGACCTCTATAGCTTGGCTATCATCTATCTCCATAGGAATAAACTCCTGGCTCTCTTCTATCGACGGCATCGATGATGCTCCAAGAGCACGATTTTTTCTGTAAGGACTTGGTCTGGGCGTGGCCGGGGACGCGGAAACTGACGATATGTCCGGACTAATCATTATATCTGTCGTCTTCTTGTTGATTAATAAAAACACAGAAATAGCCAGCGCGATAAAAACTATAGATCCTACTATTGTTCCTATTAATATATCACTCTTTAAACCATGGCCGGGATTATACACTTTCTTCTCATTTAACCATATACTGAAAATATAGAACACTCATTTAAAAATATAGAACACCTATTTAACCATATACTGAAAATATAGAACACCCATTTAACCATATTCTGAAAATATAGAACACTCAATTAATCATATACTGAAAATATAGGACACCCATTTAACCATATGTAAACTGAAAAAAAAACAACACTCATTTAACCATATACTGAAAATATAGAACACTCATTTAATCATAAATGGAAAATATAGAACACCCATTTAACCATATAATGAAAATATAGAACCCTATTAAACCATACACTGAAAATGTAGAACATTCATTTAACCATAAAATGAAAATATAGAACACTCATTTAACCATATACTAAAAATATAGAACACTCATTTAACCATATACTGAAAATATAGAACACCTATTTAACCATATATTCGAAATATAGAACACTCAATTAACTATATACTGAAAATATAGAACACCTATTTAACCATATATTGGAAATATGAAATGATATGAAATGGGGTTTAACATCCTACTGTTCTGCTCCTATACTGGGCTAATGAAGACGGGCATACTCCATACAGTGTGCTATGAGGGAAATTTTGCCCGGGCAGCGGTACTATCGCCTACTCTTTTATTGAATTCCAACTGCCAGGGGATCTTTTACGTGCATACTAATATATACACAAGATCTCGGTTTTTCGTCTCATCCAAAGGACTAGACAGCTGTCCTTGTTAGGCCCTCCATCCTACATCACTGACAAGGGGAAACCACACCAGAAAATCTGGATGAACTTTCTCGGTCAATGCAATATTGGAAATATAGAACACTCAATTAACCATAAAATGAAAATATAAAACACCCATTTAACCATATAACGAAAATATAGAACACCCATTTAACCATAACATGAAAATATAAAACACCCATTTAACCATATAATGAAAATATAGAACACCCATTTAACCATATACTGAACATACAGAACCATAATTTAACCATATACTGAAAATATAGAACACCCATTTAACCATATATTGAAAATATAGAAAATCTAATTTTATGTCAAATTAACAGAACGAAAGACCGGCCAGATTAAATTGAAAATTATATGTGGAACACATAACAAACCAGAAAAAAGGGGGTCTTACCTAATTTCAGATCTATTTGAGATTCCATTTGCATAAAAAGTGGAATTCTTTCCATCAGCTTCAACATGAACCCAGAATCTACCGTTGAGAACAACCATCTCGAGTTGATATTCTATATCTTCAGAACTCACATCTACAAAATCAAATGAAGTTTAACATCTTACTGTTCTACGCCGACTGAACTAATGAAAACAGGCATACGCCATACAGTGTGCTATGAGTGAAATTTTGCCCACTACGGCCTACTTTTATTTTGATTTCAAAATGTACTGTACACAGGACCTCAGTTTTCTGTCCCATTCAAATGACCATACCTTGCCCCTTGCTAGACACTCTGTCCTACACTGCTGAACTTATTCGTTCTACACAGGGATCGAACGTGGGACCTCCAAGTTAGCAAGCCAACATCTCACTCACTGATCCACCACGTCTCTAACGCCCACCCATGTCAGTACGCCCACCCATGCCCATTAAGGTACACACATAAAGCATTAAATGAAAGGACAATCCAACAGTCAATAAATAGATGATACTCATTTATCAACTGCACGTTTCTTTATACAAAGGAATCAACCTGATTAAAGTACAGTTCTATATTTCGTTTCGTTTATTTATACTTTCGATGACCTCCACTGCATGAAGATCTAACCGATTGTAGTGGAAGGTCGCATCTGAGGTCCTACAAGCCATAACAGACAATTTCATTGGCTAATCTCTCACATCAACCAGAACACGGGTTATATAACAACTCTTCCAGATCCTAGTGTAGTAAAGACAATCAGATTGTAAAGCCAGCAGCAATCTGAATTTTTTATCACATCATCAACAGGTTATTGAGGTATCGTAATTACCACATCTCATCATTCACACTCGATCAGAATCAGATATATCATGTTCCAAAGAATCAACAACAAAAAAAAATGAGCGTTATCGAATTTAGTCAAGACTTCACTTAGTAAACATCCATAAGAAGTTTCAACATTCTACCTCATTTAAAAGCAGAGTTATTGTTTACCAAAAAGTGTGATGGCCAGACAGACAGGTCGACCGACCGACTGACAAACAGACCAACCCATTTCAACAGTCCCCTGCTTTCTCTAAAAGGCAAGGGATTATAAACTTACTATTTAATACATTGGGTGGATGAAGCCAGAATGTAACAGTGTTATTTTCAGGGTCAGCTGAAAAGTTCTGGATTCTGTCTCTTGACACGGGAATCACAGATATAACTTTACGAATGAAGGAAGCTTCAAACTGGGAACGGAATGTTGGATCCATAAGTTGTGTCAGGTTGTCTTGTGAAAAGAAGATTTTTATTGGTATGGCTTCGAAGTCTGAAAACACAAAAACCATAACCAAATATTGAATTATTCTATACTGTATAAGTATGTTATTCTATTTATTTAGAATTTTTTTCAGAAAAAAAGGTTTTAATTAAGAATAAGAGAAAGAGAGGGAGAGAAATGGAGTTTAATGTCCACTTGCCACACACTAGGTCATTTCGGGACTAACATATGGTTCAATTTATTTCAATAATTCACTTGCACGTAGGTGTCTTTAGCTGTGGGAGGAAACCAGAGGACAGTGAGGTTTGTCACGAACAAGCTGGGAATCGAAACCACTAGACTCAATGACACATCTTGTAATCTAATGTGCAATATGTGTTAACCATTCAGCCCCCTCCCCCTCCCTTATAAATAAACATATTGGCAAAAGATTAAACTATGATAAGAACACTCTCCACTTCTCACCTGCCTTTTGGGACCAGGAACAGGGCCCTAAGCACTGCTCTTCATTTTCTTGTTGGGTAATGAGTTCAATATTATTTGTTGATTAACAAGTCAATTAACTTGTCAGCTATAATAACATTAATTAGCGCTTAACAATAATTTTGATAATCCAGTAAAAATACTGGATCATGTATTCTGTGTATAGTAACCTGTATATATTTACCTGTGTATAGTAGATTGTTTATTATATATTTACCTGTATGTAGTAGATAGTGTATTATATATTTACCTGTATGTAGTAGATAGTGTATTATATATTTACCTGTGTATTGTAGATAGTGTATATGTAGTAGATTGTGTATTATATATTTACCTGTATGTAGTAGATAGTGTATTATATATTTACCTGTGTATTGTAGATAGTGTATTATATATTTACCTGTATGTAGTAGATTGTGTATTATATATCTACCTGTATGTAGTAGACAGAGGTAGATTGTGTATTATATATTTACCTGGATCACGGATTCGGTGTGTAGTAGATTGTGTATGAGCTGCTGTTGATGTTACTAGTTGATCTTGAGAACACAGGATATGAGGATTAGTTGGACATATTATACTACCACTGTAACCTGTAATCTATATCAAATATACAATAACAAAATATACAATATCTTATAATATAGAATGATATACAATTTCTTATATATAGTATATTATACAATATCTTATAATATAGAATGATGATATACAATTTCTTATATATAGTATATTATACAATATCTTATAATATAGAATGATGATATACAATATACAATTTCTTATAATATAGAATGATGTACAATATATATAACCTATACCATATAATATACATAATACAATATCTTTATATAGTATAATATACAATATTTACACGTATATAACCTATACAATATCTTATAATATACAAGATATATAATTGCCTTTAATACAAGGAGAGAGAAAAGTTATACATCCGTTCAAAATTTACTAGATCAGTTCTGTTTACAAATCTTGACAGAGTGGCACAGTGAAAATGAAATGGGGTTTAACTTCCCACTGTTCTGCTCCCATCGGGGCTAATGAAGTCATGCAGTCAGCTTGGACAGCAATTGAATTCCAATTATCAGGGATTCTTCTATGTGACTGCCATTTTTTTGTCCCATCCAAATGACTAGATGATGTTCCTTACAAGGCAATCCGGCCTACACTCTGACATTTTAAATGAAAGCCCTGCACCAAATTCACCAGGGGGGTTGGATGGCCGAATGGTTAGCATGTGCGTGCTATATCATAAGGCCTGTCATTGAGTCAACTGGCATGGTTTCGAATCCCCGGTTGTACGTGACAAGGAGTAGGGTGGCCTGTCCAGCCTCGTGGGTTTTCTCCTGGTCCTCCGGTTTCCTCCCACTGAGGGGGTGTTAACGCCCACTCAACACAAACTAGGTCATTTCGGGACTAACATATGGTTTAGTTTTATTCCAATAATTCGCGCATAGGGGTCTTTAGCAGTGGGAGGAAACCGGAGGACCCGGAGAAAACCCACGAGGTTGGACAGGCAACTCTACTCCTTGCCACGTACAACCGGGGATTCGAAACCACCCCAGTTGACTCAATGACAGGCTTTATGGTACAGCGTGCACGTGTTAACCATTCAGCCATCCAACCCCCCTTGTTTATATGGAGATATAAATATAATTTGTTTATTGATTATACAGAGATATAAATATATAATATAAGGAGTTACTCACCTGTATAGTACTTCCAGGTAAACAATCTATCCAATCAGATTTCCTCAATTTAATTTGAACATGACCAGCACGTTTACATCTATGTTCGTAACATCGACCAACGGATTGAATTTCACTCGTATTTAAATACTACAAACAAAAAATAAAAACATGTAACATTTTTATCATCTGGAAATGCGGCAATACTATATACCGGAAAACACCGGAATACAAACGGAAAACATAGTATGGCCCCTGGAAATGTTACAAGATGCCAGTATCAGGAATCAACATAGAATGTCCACACCACATGTACGAACGACGAATATAAAACACATAAAATTTTAACATCTGAAAATGCGACAAGATGATGGCGTGAAAATCAAAGTTTGAAACCTCTGACATTGAATACACACACCATGTGAATTAAAGAGGAATACTCCAGAGTAAGGATAATACACAAATGTTTCACTCTGACAGTCAATGATCATCATTAATGAAGGAATTTGAATCAAAGCATCCTCTGAACATGACAGAAATAATGATTTTTCATTAGCGTTCTTTTCCCAAAATATGTAAAACACATTTTGTTACTTGCAATTTTCAGACAGTATCTACGCTATGTACGGTACTCAAATGAATCATTTAAAATCTAATCACGAACACAAAATAACAATACCAATTGCTTGGATGAAAATCAGAACCAGTGACTGCCAGGCAGGATATGCCCACATTTTGAAAGAGATAGATAGAGAACAAGCTAAACAAAAAGTGATTTTTCGTACAATCAAGTGCCATAATTCAGCCAGTTACGATCTGATATGCACGAATATCGACAGGAACCAAGACCTGTGGGTTATGAAGATATATTTCAAGTTTCATCAAAATCGGATCAAAATTGTGACTTCTAGAGGGTTCACAACCTTAATATACCATATTTTTTACACTATTTTGTCCGGCAGTTTTGGTCTGATTTTCACAAAATTCAAACACAGCCATCATTAGGGTGTAATGGTGATATATTCAAACGTTTTTTTACCTCTAGAGTGACCACAAGCTAAAAACGCGATTTTTCGTACAATCAAGGGCCATAATTTAGGAAGTTACAATCCGATATGCACAAATTTTGAAAGGAACCAAGATCTTTGGGTTATAAAAATGTATTTCAAGTTTCATCAAAATCGGATCAAAATTAGGACCTCATTAGGGTGTAACGGTGATATATTCAAACATTTTTTTAAATCGGATAAAAATTGTTACCTCTAGAGTGACCACAAGCTAAAAACGCGATTTTGCGTACAATCAAGGGCCATAATTCAGGAAGTTATGATCCGATATGCGCAAATTTTGAAAGAAACCAAGATCTTTGGGTTATAAAAATGTATATTAAGTTTCAAGAAAATCGGATCAAAATTAGGACCTCTAGAGTGTACACAACCTTGATATACCATATTTGTACACTATTTGCGAACGAGGGGCGTCCATTTGAACTCAAGCGTCATTACAATGTAACGGGGATATATTCAAATGCTTTTTTAAATCGGATAATAATTGTGACCTCTAAAGGTACCACAAGCTAAAAACCCAATTCTTCGTACAATCAGGGGCCATAATTCAAGAAGTTACGATCCAATATGCGCAAATATCACATACTAGCAGGATACCCGGCTTCGCTCGGGGGTCATAACTCCGAAACCGGAAGTGGTAGACTAACGCCACCTGGCCTATGTTACTCCCCGGTCCGAGCTAACCCTATACCCCAAATTTCAGACTCGGGGCAGACCTAGTGTAGCCGCCAACCCCGAACAGACAGACAGACAGACAAACGACAGTCACAAATATATATATAGATAGATAGCCAAGATCTTTGGGTTATAAACATGCAATTCAAGTTTCATCAAATTCAGATGAAAATTGTGACCTCTAGAGTGTGCATAAGCTAAAAATGTGATTTTTCGTACAATCAGGGGCCATAATCTGTTATGGTACAATATATGGAAGACAGACCTAAATTTTAACTTTTGTCAAAATCAAATAAAAATTGTGACCTGTAGAGTGCCCACAAACAAATTGTCGACGGACGGACAGAGGCGACGACAATATACGTCTGCTCGTGAGAGATATTGGGAACCTAACATAAACCCTCAGATCATAATCAGGTAATGTTAAAATTGTTTACCTCATAAAATAGGGGATCACGTGGCTAAGTGGGTAGGACGCTGACTCGCTAGCCTGGAGGCCCTCCATTTTGCAAAACTGACAAGGGGAAACCACGTTGGAAAATCAGGATGAACTATCTCGACCAATGCAGGGATCGAACACCCGACCTCCAGGCTAGCAAGCCAGCGTCTTAACCACCTAGCCATCATGACCCCTGATTCCCTAAATACTGACCAGAGACTTTAGGCTAGGGTTAGGGTTAGGGTTTAATGTCAAATTATTTACCTTAGGAAAAAGACTAGAAACAAAACATCTACTTGATTCGGAAAATGTTTCTCCATAATCATTTGAATATCTGACACCAAACTTTTTAAAACATTGGTCCTGAAAAAATTATCAAGCTTACAGAATTATCCACTTTCAAAATAATACAGTTCTTAAGACTTAAACATACATTATGCAAGAGGTAAATCTGTCTATTGCAGGTCTTTCTTTAGGCCTGAAATGTTATCTAAATTATTAATTAGACATTAATTAACTTATCCAGACCATAATCAACTCTAGATGGCATCGCTAGCCTGCGATCTTAAGTGGATTGTGATCCGATTTACTGTATAACTTTCCTTCTCGATTAAACGATTAAATGGATAACCGAGACTATGCTGTTTAACGTACTGACTTTAGTAATGATGACCGAGGCTAGGCAGAAATTTCATTCGCTTAGTTCTCAGTTCATAGTTGATATATTTGAATGAAATTTTTAGCAAATTGCCTTTACGTTATCTAGTTTTTATTTATTATAGTGAGAACTGCCAACTTTTTATCTAATCTCCCATAATGTATCTTTAAAGATTTAGGTCAGTGAATTATTGAAACATGTAATTCCTTAAGGCAGGACACTACCTTATAAAACACTCTGTATAGATTGATCTGTCAAATTTTGATATCAGCTAAAATTGCCCAAAATAGTTAAAATTTGTTGATTTTTCAAGTCGTGTCCAGCCTTTATATTATATAGTGTTAAATATTTAGTCATTTGTATAGGTAAATCAAATTTTTAACTTTTAATTTGCTTTTTTCCGTACTCAATTTTTCACCCATTTCAGGTCTTAGAAAATCAAATTCTCAAAATCTATGAGAGATAATGGTCTTATCTTTGGAATACGATTAGTGCTATAGCTACTGTTTGCAATAAGGTGATTTTCAAAGTGTTTGTTATACATTTGGACATTTTATTGTACAAAATCCTTTTAGTGGTGTGTTCGGCCACACCCACTTGTTTTATGTGGGATGCATAATGTTCTTTATTAACTTTCAAATAGTAAAATTTATGCCTTATTGCACTCTTTGATGCCTATATATGTTATTCCAAATCACAAATAGTTTGTTTCAATAAAATTGTTGAAGATTTTGATTTCCTAACATAGCCACCGTGAATATATAAAAAAATCCAATATGGCCACCATTTCCATGACAACAAATAAACATTTTGCGCTCAAATTATCAAATCTGATTTTGGACATCATATACTAATATTACACTAAATGGCAAGTTTCTGTTATCAATGTAAAATTCTTAGGTAGTGTCCTGCCTTAAATAATTTTCAGGATATTTCAGTCCAATTTTCACGATTTTCGAACCCAACTATTTATGCAATTCCTACTAAGTTGTTCTATGTGAATCCTAACGAGTGCACCTTATTTTTTCGTGGCTGGAGAATTCTTGAAATGGTTCCACTCATACCTGTGATGTGGGTGTATATTATCTGTAGCTACCTGTGTTTTACTTGATGTATATAATCAACTTACCAGTGTTGAGGGTGTATATAATCAACTTACCTGTGATGAGGGTGTATACAATGTTGTTACCTGTGATGAGGGTGTATACAATGTTGTTACCTGTGATGAGGGTGTGTTTTACTTGAAGTAATTAATCAACTTACCTGTGATGAGGGTGTATATATTCTACATGGTTTAATATGAGTATCTGTCCTACAAACACCTTTATCTAATCCCATATAATCACATCCATTACCACTGAAAATATACCAATAAACATATACCTGAATATGGATTACTCAAATATATATATATATATATACCTGACTAATTAATTACTCAACACCTTTTGAGAAACTAAACAGTTATAAACCCAACACTATCACCTCGGTGGAAGCGGACGTAAAATACAACTAACTCATCATCATATCTAAGAACAGTTTTCCAACAATAGTTTGAAACTAAACATTAAATACAGAAACTCCTGCTAAAACAGGATACCTGAGTTACCTCAGTTACCTGAGTTGTAGTGATAGACTCGCCAATAGAAATGAATCAAAGTAAAATGAGATTTAACGTCCTACTGTTCTGCTCCGACTGGGCTAATAAAGATGGGTATATGCCATACAGTGTGCTATGAGGGAAGTTTTGCTCCGACAATGGCGCTACGGCCTACTGTCAGGGGTTATTTTACATGTACACCAATGCGTACCTCGTTTTTTTCATCCTATCTATCGTGGACCAGTGAGTGACAAGAGGTACTCGAAGGTATCCAATTCGTACATAGGATCTCGGTTTTTCATTCTAGCCATCGTGCAACATTGTCAAGAGCTACTCAAAGGTATCCAATGCGTAAATAGGATCTCGGTTTTTCATCCTATTTATCGTGGACCACTGACAAGAGCTACTCAAAGGTATCCAATGCGTACACAGGACCTTGTTTTTTCATCCGATCTATCGTGCACCAGTGACAAGAGGTACTTGATGGTATCCAGAAAAATATATTTTTTAAACACTTGTAACAAATATATAATAATCCATATGAAATTTGTCTGCGATACACGACAAAGAATAAATGTTTTTTTTGCTAAATATCAAGGATAAAATAATATATTTATTTACCTTCCTTGACAGAAGAATTCTCTTTGACTACCACAGTATTCTTTTAAACCAAATTTACAACCTTGTCCTGAAGAAATCAATCAAACTTTAAATGAAATGAAATGAAATGAAATGGGGTTAACGTCCTACTGTTCTGCTCCTAAACTGGGCTAATGAAGACGGGCATATGCCATACAGTGTGCTATGAGGGAAATTTTGCCCGGGCAGCGGCACTATTGCCTACTCTTGTATCGAATTCCAACTGCCAAGGGATCTTTTACGTGCATTCCAATGTATACACGGGACCTCAGTTTTTTGTATTATCCGAAGGACTAGACAGCTGTCCTTGTCAGGCCCTCCGTCCTACATCACTGAAAACTGTAAATAACGTAGATAAACATACATTATGTTAGATTAAGATAAAGAGCTGGTCATTCTTGCTATAATAGTTCAAAAATAGACTGCGAAATATGTATATATTGAAAATTTCATTCAAATTTACTCTGGGGGGATCACGGTGGCTAAGCCGGTAAGACGCTGGCTCGCTAGCCTGGAGGTCGGGTGTTCGATCCCTGCATTGGCCGAGAAAGTTCATCCAGATTTTCCAGCGTGGTTTCCCCTTGTCAGGACTGAGGGCCTGACAAGGACAGCTGTGTAGTCGTTCGGATGGGACGAAAAACCGAGGTCCCATGTACACATTGGCATGCACGTAAAAGATCCCTTTTCAGTTGGAATTCGGTATAAGAGTAGGCCATAGGGCCGCTGCCCGGCACAATTTCACTCATAGCACACTGTATGGCGTATGCCCGCCTTCATTAGCCCAGTATAGGAGCAGAACAGTAGGATGTTAAACCCCATTTCTTGTCATTTCATTTCTTTATTTTGGGCGAAGTTATCAGTTTGAAGATGTAGCGTAGATCGTTTAATAGTGGAGTAACAGTTCTTGAGACAACCAAGACTTAACCTTGATTATCCATTTAATAGTGGAGTAACAGTTCTTGAGACAATCAAGACTTAGCCTTGATTATCCATTTAATAGTGGAGTAACAGTTCTTGAGACAACCAAGACTTAACCTTGATTATCCATTTAATAGTGGAGTAACAGTTCTTGAGACAATCAAGACTTAGCCTTGATTATCCATTTAATAGTGGAGTAACAGTTCTTGAGACAACCAAGACTTAGCCTGGATTATCCATTTAACGTTAATTCTTTAAATCTCGTGGGAGTTTAAATCCATTTAAATCTCAGCCATCCGATGGTCTAGAGAGTTGATTATAGGCCTGTCATGTTAACAAATGTTTAAATAATAATTTCAGGCCTAAATAAAGACCTGCAATAGGCAGATTTAGCTCTTGTAATAATAGTAAATATCATAATTTGCAGATTAGAGATCTCCTTTCTATGTATTGTTCTTACTGAGATATAGAGAGAACAATGGGGTTTAAAACTACTGAACACAGACTAAGTCATTTTGGGACTAACATATGGTAGACTTTTATTTCAACAATTCGCTTCCGTATACAGGTACTATTAGTAGTAGGAGGTAACCGGATGACCCAGATAAATCTCAAAGTGTGGGCACAAAAAGATGCCACTTGATTCACATCTTCAATAGAAGGAAGGATCTCACTGTAACTCTGTACGCCTTATCAAGGCTTTCACGTAATACCCTCCATATTTTGGTACTAATTTCGATTGGGTACTCAACCAGCTGGGGAGCCTATCAGATTCCTCGGTCATCACGGATACCAAGTCTCATGCTTTACAGCTAAATTGTCTACCTGTGATAATCTAGTTGCAAAGTTCAAGGCTTGTTCAATGTCAAGGTTTCCGTGGAGTTCACCATGTTTGATTTGAGTCTGTCACAACCTCTGATTGGACGCCACTGTTCGTGTGTTTTCGGTAATGGGAGATAACATAGCTATAAGGTCGGGAATTTCAGACCAGTCTAGCAACATCTAGATGTTATAAAAGCCGTGGTCGTTGCTTCAGGAACATGCTCGACTCAATGATTTAAAGCTCTCACTATTAACATTCTGCTTCATCCATCGACCCACCCCCACCCCCACCCCCACCCGGCCCCGCTTTTTAACAGAAGAAATTGATACCAATAGAAGAACTACAGAATAAAAAGATTTAATTTTACCTTTCCCCCAGAGAAAACGATCAGCTTGACTATAATCTACTTTATACCATCCTGAATCTTCAAATACAGCTAGAGTTATCTCATCTATATAGGTTAGGTGTGGCTAGAATTATAATATATATATATATACAGCTAGAGTAAGGTAAGAATTTGATTCAAGGAAATGAAATGAAATGAAATGGGGTTTAACGTCCTACTGTTCTGCTCCGAACTGGGCTAATGAAGACGGTCATACGCTATACAGTGTGCTATGAGGGAAATTGTGCCTGGACAGCGGCACTACGGCCTACTCTTATATCAAATTCCAACTGTCAAAGGATCTTTTACATGCATGTCAATGTATACACGGGACCTCGGTTTTTCGTCCCATCCGAATAACTAGACAGCTGTCCTTGTCAGGCCCTCCGTCCTGCATCACTGACAAGGCAGAACCATGCCGGAAAATCTGGATGAACTTTCTCGACCAATGCAGAGATCGAACATCCGACCTCCAGGCTAGCGAGCCAGTGTCTTACCCACTTAGCCACCGTAACCTCTTGACTCAAGTAGAATTGAACAAGAGCTTAATGCATTACGTTTTGAGTCTTATAACTGAGAAACAGTGCTCAGGTTATGAGAATATATACGATTTTGCAGCGACTGACATTTTTGGTCACAAAGGGTTTTGACTCTGATCAGTTACCTTTTATTAGCACCAGTTTACACATATTTAACCTCTTGACACTGTGGCCATAGAGGTTTTTAACGCTAACCAGTTACCTATTAATTAGAGAGGGGGAGAAATGGCGTTTAACATCCGCTCAACACAAACTGGGTCATTTCGGGATAAACATAAGGTTAAATATTATTTCCATAATTTGCAGTGCGAGGAAACCGGAGGACTCAGAGAAAACCCACGAGGTACGACAGGCAACACTACTCCTTGCCACGTACAACCGGGGAATCAAAACCACGCAAGTTGACTCAATGACAGACCTTATGATACTGCACACAGGTGCTAATCAATCGGCCATCCAACCACCCTTCTTCTGTGAACGAAACGTCGGTCTACCCTTGACATTAAAAATCTAAAAGATATTACCTGTATACTCTGTGACATCATCAACGAACCGTGCATTATCCTGGAGTCCCAGTGAGATGTGATGATGTCATTCTGTAAAACAAAATATAATAAAAACTTTATTCCCAATGAGATCTATCTTCAATAGAAGGCAAGATCTCGCTTAAACTACTTACATCTTATCAAGGCCTTTGCGTAATACCCTGCATATTTCGGCACTAATTTCGATTGGGTACAAGCCCAACTTGTGAGCCTATCAGATTCCTCGATTGTCGCGCTTTCAAGCTAAAATGTCTACCTGTGATAATTGAGTTGCAAAGTTCAAGGTTCATTCAATGTCAAGGTTTTCGTAGAGGTCGCGATGTCACAACCTCTGATTGGACGCTACTGCTCAAGTGTCTGTAGATATCGTAGCTATAAGTTCGGGAATTGTGAAGTAAACAAGCAACGTCCAGATGTTTCAGGAACATGAGTGAGATGTGATTACTGACATCTTATTCTGTAAATAATAATCTAATATTTTCAATAAGAAGAATATCTAACAAAGTAGGAAGCCGAGTTGACTCGGTGAACGGGAGGTCTTGTGTTCGTTCGATCCTGGTGTTGTCAGAGATCGTTCATCATGTTTTTCCTGCATTGTTCCACCCTTGTCAGTGGTGCTGGACGGAGTAGCTGGCACGGAACAACATACAGAAACTGGGCTAATGAAGATGGACATACATCATGAAGTGAGCTATGAGTGAAATTTTACCCAGACAGCGGCACTACAGTCTACTCTTATATCAAATTCCAACTGTCAAGGGTACGCCGATGTGTACGCATGGGACCTTAGTTTTTTGTTCCATCTGAGTGACTAGACAGATGTCCTTGTCAGGCCCTCCGTCCTGCACTGATTAGCCAAACCTAGGCTTATTTCAAAAGCTATGCACTATGGGTTAATCCCATATCCTATCTCTTGGCCATTTAACGGGATAAAAGACCCAAGCTATGCACCATGGGTTAATACCGTATGCTATCTCTCTGCCACTTAACGAGGTAAAAGACCCAAGCGATGCACCATGGGTTAATCCCATCTCGGCCATTTAACGAGGTAAAAGACCCAAGCTATGCACCATGGGTTAATCCCATCTCAGACGTTTAAGGAGGTAAAAGATCCAAGCTATGCACCATGGGTTAATACCGTATCCTATAACGAGGTAAAAGACGTACTAACTTTTGAATCCATGGGACCACCATAAATAGCCTCTGTCATACAAGCGAAGTGTTGTTGTGTTTTTTGTTTAACAGATGGAGTAGTCAGTCTAGTAACACCATCGACAGGTCGTAAAACTGGTTGAGACCGGGTTGGACAGTTTGTACCGTCTGCTGTAAATATATAAAAACAAATAATTTAATTGACAGTAAAAAAGTAAAAAAACAACAAGCACATGTACCAAGCATGACAACATCACAGCCATCTTGGGGGTTGGATGGCCGAATGGTTAGCACGTGCGTGCTGTATCATAGAGCCAGAGTCAACTGGCGTGGTTTCGAATCCCCGGTTGTGCGTGACAAGGAGTAGGGTCGCCTGTCCAACCTCGTGGGTTTTCTCTGGGTCCTCCGGTTTCCTCCCACTGCTAAAGACCCCTACGCGCAAGCGAATTATTGAAATAAAATTGAACCATGTGTTAGTCCCGAAATGACTTAGTTTGTGTCGAGTGGATGTTAAACCCCATTTCTCTCTCACTCTCACAGCCATCTTGGTAATGTGACATCATCCCAATTATTCAATGAACTAGCATGTTAAGTTTAGTGTCCATTGTACTTGAATTCGCGGAGTCTTGGACTTTTTGGAAGAGAGAGAGAGAGAAATGGGGTTTAACGTCCACTCGACACAAACTAGGTCATTTCCGGACTAACATATGGTTGAATTTTATTTCAATAATTCGGCCATCCAACCCCCCCTTTTTGGAAGAGCGTCACCTAAAAATAACAAGAAGATAGGTAGCACTAGGTCTTGCATTCTCTCTATCCCAGTAGTATCGTTGCGTTGTACTGGGTCCATCCACAGGGTCTTAACGAATTCAAATTACCTGCCCTTGATTGTAGCTTAATTCTACGAACCAATCAAAAAAACAGTTTACGGTACATACCAGTCTTAGCGGCATTATTTATGTTCACCACAATAATCTTAGTTGCAATAAAATACCAGTTACTTTTCTTAACCCACTCGATTGGTCGATAAAAATAGGAGAAGTATCAAGGGCGGTTAATTAGTATATGTGTCTCCTCCATGGATGGAGCCAGAGGTTAGTGGAGTAGAACAGAACGATATCACTGAGGATTCCGTGAACAATTTCTTGGAGCAAAAATCTTTCTAACTATCAGATTATTTGATCGTAAAATAGTCAAATTTGACAAGCAGTTACAAGATTTAATAAATTTTTATAATTATGAAATGAAATGATGTTAAATGGCAGGGCCTGCAGTTTGGTGCAGTTTGTCATCGTGAAAGGTATTCTATCACTACAGACCATTAAAAACATTAAATACCTGATTTCGAGCAATCTTTAAATTCTGTAAACATCGTTTTTGAAAATCCTAAAGCATGGAACATTTCATGTAAAGCAGTCTGTGAAAAAAAAGAAAAATATTATATTTTATAGCACTACAGTGTATAACATCTATAATTCAATGATGGACCTTATGATCTAAAAATCACATGGTAAGACCCTCCTACAAATGAGAGAGAGTGAGAGAGAGAGAGAGAGAGAGATTCTGTCACAAACTAGGTTATTTCGGGACTGTGGTTCAATTTTATTTAAAAAATTTGCCTGTGCGCAGGGGTCTTTAGCAGTGAAAGGAGGGTTGGACAGGCGACCCTACTCCTTGTCACGTACAACCAGCCAATCGAAACCACGGCAGCTGACTCAATGACAGACCTTATGATACAACGCGCACATGTTAACCATTCGGCCATCAAATCCCCCTTAGAAAGAAAATAAAACGATTTCTTATAATCCGATCGTGTATTTCATTAAATGTGATAAAATATTAAAAATCTTACTATGTACAGGTGGTCTTGTGTGTATTCTTTTGATTGTTTTAACGTAGCTGGACAAAAATTAACAACTCCTGCTATTGGTCGGCCATTTTGGTCCACTTGACAATTAGCAGCGTATCCATATACCACTCGATCCTGTAATAAGTTATAACAACAATATTTAGAGTCGCATTAGCGTTGCGCTGCAATCAATCTGATTAGAACACAGATCTATATTTCGTTTCGTTTTTATAATTTTTTTCGATGGCCTACACTACACGAAGATCTGACCTGTTGTAGTGGAAGGTCATCTCAGGGGTCAAACGAATGGCTTTTGACCCTATGACGTCAGACATTTGATTAACCAATCAACGTTGATGTTTCCACCCACAGTTCTGTGCATCGCACACCAAGATCTCGCTGCAACAGATCGCTTCATTGGCTAATCCTTCACAGTAACTAGAACGCAGGTTATATAACAACTCTTCCAGATCCTATTGTAGTAAAGACAAGTAAATCGATATTTTGAACTATAAAAACAAAATGAAATATGATCTTTGTTTTTTCATGTTATTCGGCAACTTAGATCTTAAATATGATGAAAGCTCAATCTCTCAATGGAATGCTTCAATTACATTCAGAATTTATAAAGATATGGTGAATAAAAAAGTTTGAGTATACAGGTGACAATTCTATGGATTACAATTACTGCTTATTACTGAGCGACGTTTCGGCTAGGCTTCTTTAGTCTTTATCAAGCAATTTTGAATCTTACCACATTCTCTAAAGACGATATAAACAAACATCCACAACATGGGGGTGCTCAATTCACAGTAGACGATATAAACAACCATCCACAACATGGGGATGCTCAATTCACAGTCCAGAATGTCCCGAATTGACAGAAATGCAATCGAGTAATGCGGAATTCAGTCATGTCACACTTCTGTCAGTCCTGACCACAGAAATGAAATGAAATGAAATGATGTTTAACCTGGGCTAATGAAGACGGGCATACGCCATACGGTGTGCTATGAGGGAAATTTTGCCCGGGCAGCGGTGCTACGGCTTACTCTTATATCAAATTCCAACTGCCAAGGGATCTTTTACATGCACGCCAATGTGTACACGGGACCTCGGTTTTTCGTCCCATCAGAACGACTAGACAGCTGTCCTTGTCAGGCCCTCCGTCCTGCATCACTGACAAGGGAAAACCAAGCCGGAAAATGGGGATAAACTTTCTCGGCCAATGCAGGGATCGAACACCCGACCTCCAGGCTAGCGAGCCAGCGTCTTACCCACTTAGCCACGTGATCCCCTCCTGACCACAGAGGAGGTGTGAGTGGAATCGTGACGTAATTAAACACAACGAATATATTTCAGCTGTCATGGTTGGTTGAGATCTTTTCTTCTGCAGTCGATGCATGAGTTGTAGCGACAAATCACCCTTTTTACTCGATTGTCACTTTTTTGGGATTGAGAGAATTCAATTCCGGAACGTTCAATCGAGTATCCCCCTTGTAAATATTGGATAAAATCTTTTGATGGGCCTCTTTATAATCCAATTGTATCAAAGTCGGGAGATTATTTTGAATTTCGTTTTTTTAATTTTAAAAATGTTAAATAATCTCTCTTACTATTATTAGCGTGGATAAAACCATGGAAAATCTGATGGTGTAAAAAGATAAACCATGGAAATTCGGATAGTGTAAAAAGATAAACCACTGAAAATCTGATATTGTCAAAAGGATGCAAATGAAAATAAGCAGCTGAGAAAAATATTTTTTCATTTGTATATACTTACACCACGTTGACAAGTAGTCGTGGTTTGTGATGTGATATAAAGAATAAAATCAGCGTCTTGTACACCAACACCCTGTTCATAAACTTCATAGGTAGCTGATATATTAGATCGATCATATAGATTAAAACCCTCTAGATGTACCATAGGTATCTATAATATACAAAATATACAGATTAAAACCCTCTAGATGTACCATAGGTATCTATAATATACAATATACACAGATTAAAACCCTCTAGATGTACCATAGGTATCTATAATATACAATATACAGATTAAAACACTCTAGATGTACCATAGGTATCTATAATATACAATATACACAGATTAAAACCCTCTAGATGTACCATAGGTATCTATAATATATAATATACAGATTAAAACCCTCCAGATGTACCATAGGTATCTATAATATATAATATATAGATTAAAACCCTCTAGATGTACCATAGGTATCTATAATATATAATATATAGATTAAAACACTCTAGATGTACCATAGGTATATATAATATACTATATACACATATTAAAACACTCTAGATGTACCATAGGTATCTATAATATATAATATACAGATTAAAACCCTCTAGATGTACCATAGGTATCTATAATATACAGATTAAAACCCTCTAGATGTACCATAGGTATCTATAATATACAGATTAAAACCCTCTAGATGTACCATAGGTATCTATAATATACAGATTAAAACACTCTAGATGTACCATAGGTATCTATAATATACAATATACAGATTAAAACCCTCTAGATGTACCATAGGTATCTATAATACATAATATATACAGATTATATATACATACCTTGTACTTCTAAATGTCATTTACAGAAGTGATACAAACATACAACAATCACCATGACAATAAAATAAAACTTACTCTAAAATGTTCCAAACAATATTCTCCTCTATATCCTTTTTTCATCTTATAACATCTGTAAACAATAAAATATATGATCATTTCGAGACTAACATATGGTTCAATTTTATTTCAGTAATTGGCTTGCTTGTAGGAGTCTTTAGCAGTGGGAGGAAACCGGGATTAAGAAAAACCCTTGATAATTACAAAATTTTGAAAGTGGAATCTATAAAAGCAATGTCTGTCTAGATGGATCAATTCCATTCGTTGTTGATAAAGATATGATTGACCGAGAAAGTTCATCTGGATTTTCCGACGTGGTATCCCCTTGTCAGTGGTGCAGAACGGAGGGCCTGACAAGGACAGCTGTCTAGTCCTTCGGATGAGACAAAAAACTGAGGTCACGTGTATAAATTGGAATGCATGTAAAAGATCCCTTGGCAGTTGGAATTCGATATAAGAGTAGGCGATAGTGCCGCTGTCTGGGCAAAATTTCCCTCCTAGCACACTGTATGGTGTATGCCCGTCTTCATTAGCCCAGTTCAGAGCAGAACAGTAGGACGTTAAACCCAATTTCATTTTATTTTATTTCATTATAAAGATATGAGGAATTGAAAATTGATCAATCCTCGGTATGCAGGATATGGTCAAAACTAGCAAGCACCATCTAACCAGTATAATATTCGCTTAAATCTCTTGAAAAGTCTCTTTTAATCCAACCGATTCCAAGTTGGAGGGGCGCCTGTCCAATCTCGTGGGTTTTCTCCGGGTCCACCGGTTTCCTCCCACTGCTAAAGACCCCTATGCGCAAGCGAATTATTGAAATAAAATTAAACCATATGTTAGTCCCGAAATGACCTAGTTTATGTCAAGTGAACGTTAAACTCCATTTCTCTCTCTCTCTTTCAGTTTTAATGCAACCGTTTCCAAGTTGGAGGATAATCTACTGATAATATGTTAATTCTGTTTTCTTTAATTAAATTGTAAATAATCAACATGGGTAGATATTATTGAAATTGATACAAATATACATGTTATCAGCAAGCCTGGAAATAAGGCACCTGTCTGTCACAGACAATGTCAGGCACAGATTCAGGCTTTATCAGGGCCCTTATTCACGAAAACTTAAACTAAGATACAATCAAAATTTTAAGAAATACTGCAATTCGATTGGCTGACCAGTAAAATCAATTTGCATATATCCAATGAAGTTGTAGTATTTCTTAAAATTTCGGCCCAGGCACTAAACCTCTGGTACCTGTCATTTTGTCCGGCACTGATTTGTCTTTTTTATTGACATTATTAATACATGTCCAGCACTAAGTTGAAAATGTCAGGTACTATTTCATTAGTGTCTGACATTTTGTCAGATGCATCTAAAACCGTTATTTCCAGGCCTGATTATCAGTAAAATATTTCAGCCTCAGAATTAGCTCATAGTTAGCATCTGTTTCACCTTCGAAAAGTCAGGCCTGGGATAATTACCTGTTTTTATTTGGTCCTTCTTTCCACATCAATAAACAAGCTGATCTCTTTAATACCAAATTACCTTTTACAGGTAAAACTGAAGAAAAAAAATATTATTGTTTAATTAATAATCTCAACATAAATTAAAGGAAAGGGTGTTTAAATTTAAACTTCCTATGTTTTGGCACCAACTGGGCTAATATAGACAGACATATGCCATGAAGGAAATTTTGCCTGAGCAGCAGCATTTGTCTGCTGTTTATTGAATTCTAACTGTCAAGGGTTCTTTAACATGCACGCCAACTAATACACACACAAGGCCTTAGGTTTCATTCTATGCGAACAACTGATGAATGAAAGAGAGAGATAGAAAAATAAGGGAGAGTTTACCATCCACTCGACACTTCTTAGGTCCTTTCAGGACTAATATATGGTTCAATTTTATTCACATTTGCTTGCGCATAGGGATGTTTATCAGAAAACCCAAGAGGTTGAACAGACGACCCAACTCCTTGTCACGTACATGCTAGAAAACGAAACCACACCAGTCAGGTCACTCACATGTTTGGAACTAAGGCATCTTGCACCAATTCAGACTTTGTAAGGCACCGACAGCCCGTCTAATGATGTCATTTAGCTGGCACAGATTTGTGTGTTTTCTGATATCCTCAATACATCAGGTTTAAAATGCCAGAAATTTGTAACCTATAGTTCAATAATTTGTCAAATAAGTTTACATGTACGGTAGACTATAACTAAATTCATTATTTAATTAAAAGACTGCACCCATACAATTAAAAGACTGCACCCATACAATTAAGTAAATCTGTAGTTCACTGGAACAGCTCCGTAATTTGATTTGAAAATTTCAGACCAAGGAAATAAAATGGACTATTTAGTCACATTTTGGACTTTAAATTTCTACATTCTCAAAACCACAATTATTCCTGATGCCCGGTGAAATCTTCGCCTACCCCTTTAATATTTTTAATGGATGTCATTTACATATTCGATTCAATGAAAATGATAAATTGTTTACTGTTTTTGATGCATTTTGAGATTTCTGGATCAATATTTACTTCCATTATCTGTTTGTTTATTTTGAGACTACCATTATTTGAGTTCATTGAATTAATTAAAGTTAGTCAATATTTTATGAAGAGACAAAAAGCTGATTATATTCTATTAGTTTTAATTGACATCGTATAAATGAAAACGAAAAAAATCAATTCAAGTAGCCTGGGAATAACAGTGGCGGACCCAGGGTTTATTCCAGGGGGGGTGACTAAAAGAGGTCAGGGGCGAAGCGCAATCGACCAAAGGAGGGAGCACTAGAAGGGGGGGGGGCATAGGGTGTCCAAAGGGGTTAAAACTATTTTGTGCTATCTGAGGTATCTTCTGGGCAATAGTTCTCAAAGAAATAAAGTGAAAACCCCAAAAACTTGTCCGATTTTGCGTGTTTTAAATCTCTCAGAGGGGGTGAGTCACCCCCCTGGATCCGCCACTGAATAAAGCTCCTGTCACAGACACTGTAGGCTCAAATAGTCAAATTTAAAAAATGAAATGGAGTTTAACGTCCTACTGCTCTGCTCAGAACTGGGCTATAAGTGTGCTATGAGGGAAATTTTGCCCGGACAGCAGCACTACGGCCTACTCTTATATCGAATTCCAACTGTCAAGGGATCTTTTACGTGCAAGCCAATGTGTACATGGGACCTCGTTTTTTTTTTTTGTCGCATCCGAACAACTAGACAGCTGTCCTTGTCAGGCGCCCCATCCTGCATCACTGACAAGGGGGAATCATGCCGGAAAATCTGGATGAACTTTCTCGGCCAATGCAGGGATGGAACACCGGATCTCCAGGCTAGCAAGCCAGGGTCTTACCCACTCAGCCACCATGACCCCCTGCTCAAATTTAGGCAATAGCTTTGATTACGTGTGGTTGAGATAAGCATTCTGAACTGTTCCTGGCCGTGATAAAAAATTAAGAAATTGCATCATTTACGAATTTGATTATTTTGTTGACACATGATTTTTAATTGTGGTCTAACACCACCTGCTTAAATAACGATAAGAGTTATGCCCCTTTATTTTGGGTAAAATAACCAATAACCAATCTCGATACCGTGCCTGGCATGTTAAATATGGAACTCTTCCAAGTAAAGTTACTTTCAGCCACGGGGAGGGGGAAGTACGAAAATTTAACCGTGTACCGGGCCGAGATAACCTCACTTCAGTGGTCAAGATTGGCATGGTTATTTTTTACCCATTTCGTTCCTAGCACGCTATGTCATACACAATCCCTTTTGGTGTCACAGATTCGTCTCTTGTCAGTGTTTATAATACATTTCGGACTTAAAGTTCATAATAGCAGGTATGGCCTACTTCATTAGTGTCGTACATTGTGGCGGGCAGGCCTACACAGTGGCGGATTAAGCTCCACCAAGGCCTGAGGCGGCAGTTGCTGGAGGGCCTATTTAGTTTTTAAATAGGGCCTATTTAAAATGGCGTAGGCCTAATTAATTTCGGGTCAGGGCCTTTGTTGATTCCCGTTGGGCCTAAACCCAACCCCCCTAACATTCATTGTCTATGCGTTTTTAATCGTATCAGACAAGTCTAAAATTTTTTTTTTTACAAAATCTTTGGGCCTGAGGCTGCAGCCTCATCAGCCTCACTGATAATCCGCTACTGGGCCTACAACTAATATCAGTCGTTCCATTCCTGCAAAAACATGCAGCCTTGAAACAATACAAACTGGGTAATTTCAAGACAAAAATATGGTTCAGTTTTATCTCAATTACAAACTTTGCGAAAACCCTTGGGGCTAGACAGGCAACACTAGTCCTTGACAAATACACTCTAGGAATCGCAAACTACGCCAGTTGACTCAATGGCAGACTTTATGATCTAATTAGCAGTATTCCTAAACAGCATGCATTAAACCATTTGGCCCCCCACCCCCTCAAACCTCCACCCACAACCTTGATTTCTTGAAGAACTATTCCAATTAAAAAAGTTTTAGTTTGTCTAACCATACCTGACAAGAGTTTTTTAATTTTTCCGTTGGCTTTATTAATGGCTTCTTTCACCGATGTTTTGTTTTCATTCGATAATTCAAAACTTAATTCAAATATTGGATGAATCCGTAAAGGTTTATAAAAGTTTTGCGGCACACGTTTACTTCTGGCTGATTTCACGTCACCATAATTAACGTCTTTTGTAATTAATGCTGGCTTCGGTAGCTCGTCATGAACACATTGCGGAGTAATATTCGGAATGAACTGCACCAGAAAAATTAAATAAAGATAGAGATATGCCATAGTCGTTAATATCTTTGCCATCACACGTCACTGAGTGAATTTGTTTCAGGATATTGTTGTAGTAATTGTTCATGAGATGAGGATTTTCTTTCGTTAAAATCATATTGTTTTCTCATTGATGCTTTATGAATAAAATCACGAAGAAATTCTGAAATATTGCACGTCGATGTTAACCAGTGCATTTATGTCAGAACGAACTGATATTGGTAATAAGATCCTAAGAGCTTATGTTATAGTAATTGTAAACATTGAAGTTAATGTCTGCCGACATAATCCGAATTTTAGCAGATTTTTTGGTGATGAATATTCCCATGTGGACACCAAATCCTCCATAAAACAGCTATATCTGTGTTATGTGACTCTCTAATATCTTAAAGAACTCTCCTAAATGGAACAACATCACTAAACCGTGTCTTGGATACTCCTTTCAGAATGTTAATCGCAAGTTCAGAAATTCTGCCAAAATGTGGAACTGATTCCTGTGTTAAGTTCCTGCAAGTCTTGTACCAGGTGGCGCTGTTATGTTTCTCGCAAAATGCTCCTCACTACTCATGTGTTTATCTCATAGTTTAAATAATTAAATTCGATGATGCATTCACTGAATTATGATTGATTTGATATAATTCTGCAAATAGATATTATCGAACACGTCATATCGAGTTTAAAATATAATAATGAATTCTTAAATAGAGTTATTCCCCTTTAACCATTTTGTTATTTAATTTTGCTCTCCAACGTAGAAGATCGAATTGGTTGGTAAACGAAAGTAGATCAGAGATAACCAGAAAAGTTTCTTAAGGAAATTGCAAAGTAGTAATGATATTATCCTGAACTGTTTTGCTTATATATGTTAAAAAGAAAAAAGATGTCTTTGTCATTTATCTGCACGGCTGGTCGTGGGACGGAGAAATTTGTGGAAGAAGAATTGAGAACAAAATTTAATTGTGTTGACGTAATAAATATTAAAGGACAATCTTGGTGCCTGTCATTATAAAATATGTGATAGAGCTGGTTAAACACATTCCAAATATAATTTTAACACAGAGATCATTGCTACGATAGCTGAGTAATACAGGTTTCCTGAATCGGAAGTGACGAACGGCAAAGGAAAACACGAGTCATCCCTCTATATAACTGACTGATGTGATGAGTAATAACAGATCCATGGCCAAATTTCTGCTCTCTAATAATTCCTTCAAAGACCAGGAAACCTGTATTACTCAGCTATCGTAGCAATGATCTCTGTGTTAAAATTATATTTGGAACGTGTTTAATTAGTTCTATCACATATGTGATAATGACTGACACCAATATTGCCCTTTAATTTACTTACCTTACAGTATTTACACCCTTTTCTTATTTTATTATATTCATTATCATGCCAAGACCCCTCTAGGCATTATGTCATAGAGACTGTTTTCCAAAGTAATTTGCAGTTTCCGACTAGACCTTATATATGGCTCAGACTAGTCGGACAGTAGGCCTAAGCTGTGTTGGTTGTAGTCAAAGTAATAGGCCTATATAGGCTAAATTAGAATAAATCATGGTTCACAGTTTTCCATCAAACTGCAAATCAGAAGGACTTTTTTTTATTTATCAACATCAGATTATAAAAAATATATTATTTATGTTATCTTTCTATATAACCTTTTAAAATATCTGATGGTAAAATATATTTCTATATTACAGTTAAAAATATCTGATGGTAAAATATATTTCTATATTACAGTTAAAAACATCCGATGGTAAAATATATTTTGATGTTAGAAATGAACAGGACATACAACTTGATGATCTGTTAAATTTAAAAAGTATAGAAAGGATTTTCATCAAAATAAATAATTTTAAAACCAGTAGATTACCGTACGGAAAAGGTGAGTGAGATCTGATGTATTAGTAGTAGTAGGCCTACCAATGGGCTTTAGTAGTTATATGATTGTATTCTGTTTAAAATTCTATTTAGAGCCACGGTGGCTCGATGAAAAGGGTGCTGTCTTACTAACCAGGTGGTCCAGGCTTCATCCCGGGTTCGATTCCGATGTAACTTGAGAACGTTCCAATGCAGGAGCAAGGAAGAGTGTCATGTCATTTGGATCGAACAAAAAATCAAAATCACTTGAGTGCTTATGAATCCTTTGCTTATGACTATATTGTGAAAGATGAGTCTCTCAAATGAATATCAGTTCAAAAATGGTTAAATTCCGTTAAATATTTACAAAGATATGATACATCAATTTTCCCAACATTCTACCGACGTTGTAAACAAGTCAGGTGAGCCTCTTTTCAGTATCACTGAATCCAAACCAGGAGGTTATCAATCGGTGATCTTTTGTTTTCTTAACTAAAGTTTCCAACTGCCAAGGAATCCTTTATGAGCACGCCAATGTATACACGGGACCTCAGTATTTTGTCCCATCTGAACAACTAGACAGCTGTACTTGTCATGCCCTCCGTGCTGCACCACTGACAAGGGGAAATAACGTTGGAAAATCCCGATGAACTTTCTCGGCCAATGCAGGGATCGAACATTCGACTTCCAGGAGAGCGAGCCAGCGTCTTACCCACTTATCCACCGTGGGTACATATTAGTGTGGATTAAGCGTTGAAAGAAATTAGTTATTTTCTAAAAAAATTTCTCGTGAGGATGAGAGACTCTAATGATATAGATTTAAGTAAACGGAGCTTTGAAAAATGAAATCAATCTAAAACCAGATTTCATGATTTTTTTTAGGTAAAGGCCAGTTTTTGAATGCGTTAAAGAGAAGATTAGTGAAGAAAGACAAACTTCTAAAATCTTTACAGACATTTACAAAGCTTCACAGAGGATTGAAAACACGAACAGATTCCCTTGAACCAGCCCCTAAAAAATGTAAATTACATATGACATCATCTCCGTCTGTGTTGGATGAAGACAGGCAACATGAGGACGGAAGTATAAGTTTTCGAATTTGTTGTAAACTTTCTGGTCAGATATGTGGATTAATAACATCTCAGGTTAGTCAACGTTCTTGATTAAATATTCTGAACTTTTATGCACCAACTAAGCTAATGCCATTGCATGGAAATTTAGCCCTGGTAGTGGTCTTCCGCCAAATTGTCAAGGGATCTTTTACGTGCAAACTAACTAATATATAAGTGGGCCCTCAGACTAAAAGATCCTGAGAAACTATCTCGGCTAATTTCAGGATTGGCGTTTAGTCATACTGATTATTGAGAAAGAACCTCACTCACTGAACCACCTGTTCAAAGAATTGGTAAATTTGTTATTAAAGTTTGTGTCAAGGGTTGGATTTAAAGTTCCATGAAACAGGTGCCCTTTATATAGTGTTAGATATTGTTTATCGTTTTTAAAATATATTTTAGTTGGTTAAATTTCATTGTAAATCTGTCTAGTGTTGGATAGCCTTCCCAGGTATATTTCATGATGCGATTAGTTTCATTCTTACAGAAACACTGCAGGCTTAAGTGAGATTGTTGTTGTTGTTCTTAGTGTTTAACGTTCGATTCCACCAAATGTGTTATCTTAGCGCATTCGCAGGGGTCGTTTCTGTGGGAGGACACAGAGTAAACCCATGAGGTTGAGAAGGCGCCCCTATCTCCAAGCCACATACGCTCACACCAGATATCGAAACCACAACCGCAAGACAGAGGTGACCGGACCAGTGAGATTGTGCAACTGTTCCCTTTATTTTGCCCTTTGGGACTAGAAAACATTTGAAGTTTTAGGCGGATTGGATTGGATAATGATGAGATTTAATCCCAAAGGGTTGCTACCCTCTTTGTATAGTTTGGTAAAGTTTTGTTATATTTTTATTTTTTACATGTAGGAAGTAAATATTGAGTTGGGGAAACATATTACAAAGATAACTGGTTGGAAAGTAGATTTAACATCACCATTATTAGAGGTAATAATACTTGTTATATTCTAACAGATTATTAATTACATGTTTATTGTTAAGTGTTTTTGAGAAGGCTTTTTGGAAATGACGCTTTATAAAAATTTTATATTCAAACATTTATACAGATAACAGTCCATATAAATAACAGTCCATATTTTACAGGTAACAGTTCATATGAATGATGAAGTTGTTGTAACAGGTGTACCTGTTATAAGGTAATATATATAGATATGTATGTCATCAGATGGTTTTTAAAATTTGGTATGGTAATTTGAAAGATAAGATAGATGAGGAATATTTTTGATTTACAAATCTCTCTGGTTGTCTGCCCTTATTGATCAGTTAATATGAATATTAATCTGAGTCCTGACCTATTGGTTATTTCTAGATGAAATGGGGTTTAATATCCACCTGTACAGACTGGGGTAAAGAAGGCGGGAGCTGGGTTACTATGGTTATAAATATTGTAAATAGCAATTTCATCTTTTTTTTTTTCAGTATACCGATATCGAAGAGAAGTTATATTTTACACCATGGTTTACGATCTACTGTAGCTTGGATAATGTCTCACCTGGCCGATATACAGGTAAAGTGATAAAATAGATGTATTATTTACACTAGCTTGGGTTTAATGTCCCCTTCCATCAAGGATAATATCGCACACAAGAAATGAAATAAAATGGGGTTTAACTTCCCGTTCTGCTCCGAACTGGGATAATGAAGACGGGCATACGCCATACAGTGTGCTATAAGGGAAATTTTGCACTATGGCCTACATCCCATCTGAACGACTAGACAGCTGTCCTTGTCAGGCCCTCCGTCGTGCATCACTGACAAGGGGGAACGTCTTACCCGCCTAGCCACCGTAACCCCTCGCACACAAGGGAAATATTATTAATACTATACTATTTTGATACTGGGTTGCACTCGAAACACTTCCTGGAATAAAACTACTCTTATTCTCATAAAGTCATGTCAAATTTTGTTGCTTGGGGAATCTTACCTATTTAGAAAGGTATCAGAACGATTAAAATGTCTGACAAACCTGTTGATGCACTCGATCGGTTACATCAACTCATTTCCTATATGTGCTTTAATTTTATATTTAGAATCTTTTTAACCAATTCTATCATATATATACAATTCATGGATGGTGGTATTGATGTATTATGAGATGGCTAATTGTCTAAATACATGTTACCACTCTGTACTTCAGTAGGTTTTCTCCTGGTTGTGCGGTTTCCTCCCACTGCTAAAGACCCCTACGCACAAGCAACCATATGTTAGTCCCGAAATGACCTAGTTTGTGTCGAGAACTTGATTAGAATTCAAATTGATATATTGATAATATACTAATTTGTTTGTTTTAGTTTAATGATGTAGTGGTTGATCCAATGTGTGGTAAATCTACGATATTAATAGAAGCTGTTAAATTACAACCTGTAAGTATTAGATATTATATGTAATGGTATTTATAGGGAGGTGTATATAGGATGTAATGTGTTATATATTTATAGAAAGGTGTATATATAGGATGTAATGCTGTGTTATATAGGATGTAATGCTGTATTATATTTATAGGGAGGTGTATATATAGGATGTGATAAAGACAAACAACAATTACGATATTCTATATTAAACCAACAACATGCTGGAGTAGATATCAACTTTTTACATACAGATACTTTACGTAAGTTTAAACTGGTATCCTTGATGGGAGCCAACAGAAACCAAATGGGGTTTGGGTGTAACATATATATACTTTGTGAATGGGACCCTGATGTCTTTTTGGATTCTAATTTATTGAAAAGTCATGTCAAAAAAAGACAACTGTCTTCCTTTATGCAGTTTTAATGAAAAACTGTAGTTCGCATTATATGTCCAGTTTTTTCCTGAACATCTTTGAATCTTAAAGATACATTATGGGAGATTAGATAAAGAGCTGGCAGTTCTCACTATAATAGTTAAAAACTAGATACTGTAAAGGCAATTTGCTGAAAATTTCAGTCAAATTGATTCACTATGAACTGAGATTTTAGCGATTGAATTTTCCGCCTAGCCTCGATCATCATTACTAAAGTCGGTAGGATATAGAAGCTAGTCTTGATTATCCATTTAATAATTAAATTATGAATGGAAGTCGAACAGCAAATCGGAAACCTAATCCAATAAACATCGCAGACTAGCAATGCCATCGAGAGTTAATTATGGTCTGGATAAGTTAATTAATGTCTAATTAATAATCTATATAACATTTCAGGCCTAAAGGAAGACCTGCAATAGACAGATTTAGCTCTTGCATAATGTATGTTTAAGGAAATATTGTCGTATTATATTAGCTGATAAAATGTTTTTTTTTTCTAGATCTACCATTAATAGATGAGAGTGTTGATAAAATCGTGTGTGATGCTCCATTTGGTCAAAAACATAAAACAGACGAAGAAATTAGAACATTTTATATAAAATTATTACAGCAAATTTATAGGTGAGTAAAAATGTTTAACACATGCAAGTGTTGTGGTTTATACCCCGCTTATACGTGACAAGGAGAAGAGTCGCCTGTCCTATCTAGTGGGTTTTCTTCGGGTCCTCCTGTTTCCTCCCACTCCTAAAGACCCCAACGTGCAAGCGAATTAATGAAATAAAATTGAATCGTATGTTAGTCCCAAAATGACCTAGTTTGCCCCAGCGTCCACCAAGCGAATTAATGAAATAAAATTGAACCATATGTTAATCCCAAAATGACCTAGTTGGTGTGGAGTGGACGTTAAACCCCATTTCTTTCTCTCTCCTTGTCAGTGGTGCAGGACGGCAGTCTAGCCGACAAGAAAAAATGTATACAAGTAGTATGGGAATACCCTGTCAATTGACGATCGTAACAAGATTATGGCGTATAGGAGCTGACAGGGCAATTCACTTCATTCCATTTTGTTAGCAGAGGAACCAAATTGACAATAGTTTCATTCATAACACTTGACTAGACAGAAACAGATTGAATATATATGAGTTTTTAATTTTTCAGGGTTTTAAAAGTTGGCGGTAAAATGGTTCTATTGACGAGTTCGCGTCTACGATTTCACGTTTTACAAAAATTAAAACAACCTCACAAAGATATAGTACCGAACATTCAACCCACCATTACTCATTGTGATAATATACAAGAAGATATTCCAGAAACATTTAGTAAGAAAGGGATTCAAGATTTAAAACAACCCCGCAACGAAATAATATCGAACATTCAACAAGTGGCTACTCATAACGATAAAATACAAAAAGATATTCCAGAAATATTTAGTAAGAATGAAATTCAAAGTTGCGTGGGGAATTTTTTGGAGACTAAACATCACCGTCCAATTACAGAAAGCTTGCCTGACGACAATTCATTGAAAACATCTGTAGAAAAGTCATCTATAATTCCTAGTGAAAACGGTAGTTTGGTTGATAATAGTGAAGTACCGGTAATTATTCCTTCTAAAAGTGAATCTGTTTATACGAGTACATCTTTAGCACCAGATATACAACGTAGAGAAAAACATGTGTCTATTACATCAAACGTCTGTGACGACAATTATAGTGAAAATGAAAGTAGAAATGATAGCCATTGCTTAGCAACAAAAATACAACACAAAGAAGAACATGTGGCTATTACATCAATGTGTGCAATAGATGAAGGGTTTGACAAAAGTAAAAATGAAAGTAGAAATGATAGCCAGTGCATCGATCCAAAAATAGAACACATGGATAAACATGTTACATCAAAGTGTGAAATAGCTGAAAGTGAAAGTAGAAATGATCGCCAGTTATTACATTATGTAGAGGATCATTATATAAAGTTAGGTGAAACACACGCTTATATTAATGTTGCGGTTAAACTTTGATATTTTTCGTATTTTAGGTCTAATAAAAGACAATTTATCCCAAGTAGCTCTAGGGGTCTTTAGCAGTGGGAGGAAACCGGAGGACCCGGACAAAACCCACGAGGTTGGACAGACGACCCTTCACCTTGTCACGTACACCCAGGGAATTGAGAGAGAGAGAGAGAAATGGGGTTTAACGTCCACTCGACACAAACTAGGTCATTTCGGGACTAACATATGGTTTAATTTTATTTCAATAATTCGCTTGCGCGTAGGGGTCTTTAGCAGTGGGAGGAAACCGGAGGACCCGGAGAAAACCCACGAGGTTGGACAGGCGACACTACTCCTTGCCACGTACAACCGGGGATTCAAACCACGCCAGTCGACTCAATGACAGACTTTATGATACAGCGCGCACGTGCTAACCATTCGACCATCCACATCCCCGCCAGACAAGGAACAGTATCTAATCAATGGGATGGGATGAAAAAGTTGGTGCGCATGTAAAACAAAGAACCATTGACAGCTTCCATTCAAAGTAAACAGTAAACCATACAGCCCCTGTCCAGACAAAATATCCCTCATAGCACAGTGCATGGTGTAGGCCTGTCTTCATTATCCCACTGCATGGTGTAGGCCGGTCTTCTATAGCCTAGTCAGTGCCGAACAGTAAGAAATTAAACACCATTTCATTGTATTTCCACTTTGAATCAATATGTCGTAATTAAATCAAGTACAATATTATATTTGTAATAATCAATTTTAATCAGGTAAATCAATAACAATCAATAAATCAATAACAATATATAAAAATCAACATATATATAGTACAATATCTACTATTAATATATTATGGCAGGTTTCCTTATAAGGTAGAGAACTCATCATGGCCCCCCAAATAAGGTTATATTGCAGAAGAACTTTTGGATTTAAGACCAGTCATTTATTCCCTATTGCCTTCAATGTTCAATCCATAATGACATTTCTTAGTACATAACATATTTTCTTACATTTCGATGATCTGAAATGTTTATAACCACAAAGAGTTTAACATATCACCTGATATAAATATTGCAAGTGGTTGATCCATTTTGATTTTTTTTCTATACCAGCTGAAAGGCATCTATAGGTCAAGACCCTGTTATCACAGGTGATTTCCCTAATAAATGTCTGTTTATTTCTTTCCACCTCAAACATTATGAATATTTATCAAAGCCAGACCGAAAATATAAATTACCATTCAAAATATAAATTACCATTCAAAATATAAATTACTTTGCAAAAGGTGGCTAAGAAAGGTTCTCTATAGTAAACAGATGATCTACATTCGTTGGTAATCAATACAAGTGGAACAGTTTTAGACGATTGTGTAAAATATAGATATAATTTTAAATGTGGTATTTTCCCTGATCAGTTTTATACTTGTCCATATCAGTTTTACCTATAATGTAAATAAGATTTGCTATGACACACTTGTAGCCTGTGTAATATTAGTTTTACCTAATTTGTTATGACATACATGTACCTGTCTTTTAAGAATCCATATAGAAATTCTCATCCACAGTGGCACTTTCCCTTGATCTCGAGCGCGGCACGAATATTGCTTAACATATTATTAGGCAGTGCTTACTATGAAGCCGTGTGATGAGTCACGTAGGCTATTAGTCTCTATTATCCAGAAAAATATTCTACGAATATGTTGAAGACTAGTTTCTGGGTGACCGAGACTAGTACGCACCCAGCAAAATAACAAAAAGGGGAGGTGCTACCAATAGCTATATGAGCAGAAATTCTAACGTATTTGTAGGCGTCAATCATTCTGCTGTGTTGCCTATAATGCCTGTCACTCTGTCGTGACTATGAAAGAGTGGTTTTCGCTGAAGTTAGCTGTGCCTGTTTACAAGTGATTTAACTATTTCGAAAGTTCTACATTCATTTGCTGCCGTATAAACGAAGACACGTAATTCTAAAGGAATATTATGGTTGTGAATTTGATGCCGAAGCAGGATCGGCAAGCTTTCATTCAACATATCACGAAAATGCTTAATTTTGTAGGACATTTACTGACATAAATTTGAATGCCGTACGGGAATTAAGTGTGAAAAATAGCGAGGTCACCAATTTTTATTACGTACGGGATTTGAATATTTTGTTGACATGTGGTTTTTAATTGTGGTATGAATTTAATACTGTACGGGAATTAAATATGAAAAATAGCGAGGTTCACCTATTTTTATTACGTACGGGATTTGAATATTTTGACATGTGACTTTTAATTGTGGTACGAATTCGTCTGCTTAAATAACGATAAGAGTTATGCCCCTTTATTTTCGGTAAAATGTCCGACAAGTAAAATTTTGAAATCCCATCACTGACCTGTAGCCTGTAATGTAAATAAGATTTGTTATGAAACACCTGTAGCCGATGCTGCCTGTAACACAATTTGCCCTATTTGGAGTTGAGATATAAACATAAAAAAAATAGCCTGTTATTTTTATTCAACGTCAATACCTTAAAATAAATTAAATCTTATTTTTATCATAATTTCAATCAAGAATATTTTTGGAGGGCTTCAAATGTTTATGGATAATTCATTAATTGCATTCCCTTGTCAGTGGTGCAGGACAGAGGGCCTGACAAAGACAGCTGTCTAGTCGTTCGGATGGGACGAAAAACATAGGTTCTGTGTATTCATTGGCATGTGCGTAAAAGATCCCTTAAAAGAGTAGGCCATGGTGCCACTGCCCGGACAAAATTTCCCTCATAGCACACTGTATGGCGTATGCCCGTCTTCATTAGCCCAGTCGGAGCAGAACAGTAGGACATTAAACCCCCATTTCATTTCATTTCAGTAATTGCATATTATTAAAAACTGATTCTATCTTATCATCATTTAACTTTATTATGCAATCTTTTCTAAATCACTTGCTCTATAAATTATGACATGATATACAAAAATTACACTGTCATTCATTCTTGAAATTTTATATGTTTATATTCATCAATTGCATTTTATAAAAATAAATCCTATCTTATTCTCATCATCATTTAGCTTTATTTTACCTTCTATTTTTAATCATTTACCCTATAGATGATGACACGATATACAATTATTACCCTGTCATCCAGTCGTTACATGATATTTATGTATACAAAATAATCTGATGTTTATATGGATATAAGGTTCGGAGACTGGCCGAAATACCTTCCCGATAAATCCCACAAAATGTCTTCCTATTGATTTCGTCCAATCATCATAAAGAAAACTGTTGTTGAGCTTTATCAGCCACCATTTTGGCTATTGATAATGAAGATGTTGCCGCGGGAGATGGAGCGTTACGAATGTGTAAAATACGAGTTCCTATATCACCCTCTCCGCTATCAAACACAAAATCTTCTACCAAGTTACCCTCTCTATCTAACGCCTGGGCTCGTACTCCTGTTGGACCCCTGAAATTAAAAAATAAACACTGAAATCAAGGCAAAAGGTCTTATTTAACAAACTCTACAAATACAATTGGTCTTATATATAGGACTCAGTCATATTTATAGAACTCTAGGTCTTATTTATGAGACTCTAGGTCATTGTTATAGGACTCTTATGTCATATTTATAGGACTCCAGGTCATATTTTAGGACTCCAGGTCATATTTATAGGACTCTAGGTCATATTTATAGACTCCGGGTCATATTTATAGGACTCTGGGTCATATTTATGAGACTCTACGTCATAGTTAAGGGACTCTAGGTCACAGTCATAGGACTCTAGGTCATTGTTATGAGCCAAACCTTGAAGAGTTGAACATGTGACTCACTTTATAACATCCGCTCTGTTTAAACTAGGAACGTATTTCTGTAGTTTTTTAACTTGAGCACCATAAAATATACCATTATACATTTCACCCATACCATAAAATAAATGACGAAAGGCTAATTTTCTTAAACCCCTGAAAGAAAACATACAATTGGTTTTCAACACTAGAGGAAGATAATTTGATCAGGATTTGAAATCGGGATGTTTAAATTCAAATTTCTAATGACTTAAATATTTTTTCTGGTAAAATGCAATGCAATGGGCTTTATTACAGCCAATGAAGATATACACCATGCTAGATTCCATGAGGGAAAGTGTTCCCTTACAGTTCCTGTGTTCTGTTAGAATATTTGAAGAGTCCAGGGGAAGAAAGATCTAAGTTACATTTTTGTCTTTCAGCCAATTTAAGGTCAAATAAATACGATGGACTTGTATTTGTCCAGCAGGCCATTTCAGAAGGGCCTTGGTTTGATGTGACCCCGATTGTTTTTACCGGAAATTGATTGTTCCACGGAAAGCTTATACAATTTGCTACCCGATACCGCCATTAACTGGGGTTCGTTGAAAATGTGACTTAGATCGTTCTTCCCCGGGGGCTCTTCATTTGTGGTACGGCGTTTTTAGAAAGAAGTTATGTTTGTCAATGTAAAAATTATTTGATACTTCAGCCAATTTAGTGACCTGAATGTGCATCAAATTATTTGTTGTTAAAATATTTTAAAACCCGAGTAACTCACGTAAAATATTTTAAAACCTGAGTAACTCACCTAAAAGCCAAGGCATCATATAAATCTTTTATACTAAAATCAGTGTAGGAATATCCTTCTCTTTTAAACGCTAAAACAGCATTAGGACCTAACCACACACTTCCATCCATACGTGGTGTAAAATGAATACCGAGAAATGGAAATCTTGGATCTGGGACCTGCCGAGAAAAAAAAACAACATAATTAATTCATGTGGATGTACGTCAAATTTCTGTAAGATTAAAGATAGTAGTATAAATCTAAGGACAGGATACTAGGGTTAGGGAGATATTTTATGCTTCTGTTCTATTATAAGTTCATTATTTCCATTATCTGCTTTCAATCATTTACAAGATAAATCATTTACCCACATTTGTTGGGAGATCAAGTGGGTAAGACGCTGGCTCGCTAGCCTGGAGGTTGGGTGTTCGATCCCTGCATTGGCCGAGAAAGTTCATCCCGATTTTCCGGCGTGGTTTCCCCTTGTCAGTGATGCAGGACTGATGAGACGAAAAACCGAGGTCCCGTGTATACATTGGAATGCACGTAAAAGACCCCTTGGCAGTTGGAATTCGATAGAGTAGGCGATAGTGCCGCTGCCCGGGCAAAATTTCTCTCATAGCACACTGTATGGCGTATTCCTGTTTTCATTAGCCCAGTATAGGAGCAGAACAGTAGGACGTTAAACCCCATTTCATTTCATTTCCCACATTTGTTTCCCATTCCTAGATTCATTATTTACCAAAATTAATCATTTCCAGGATTAATCATTTACCAGATGAATCAGATACCCACACTGTTTCGCTGTACCCAGACTAATCATTTACCCACATTAATCATTTATCAATGCCTCAATTAACCATTTACTAATACATGCATTAATCATTTTCTCATACCTAAAATAATCATTTACTCACATAAACCATTTACCCATGATAATCATTTGCCCATACCTAAATTAACCATTTACCCATGATAATCATTTACTCATGATAATCATTTACTCAGGTACCCATAATAATCATATCATTTGCCTATACCTAAATTAATCATTTAACCATTGTAATCATTCACCTACGTTGATTATCCTGTACCTAAATTATTCATTTACCCAAATTAATCATTTACCCACACCATGATAAATCATTTACCCGGATTAATCATTTATATATATTAAACATTTCAGCTTTCACTGGAGTCAAAATCTCTAATTACACAACATACTGGTCCTAATTTAAAACAATGTATGTGTACTTACTGGATAGATATTGCCACGAACAAGATTACTCTTCTCAGGTTTCAACATTAAATATTCTCCACGGAACGGAACTACTTTAGGCTCCGGATTACAACCTGATTTCTCTGCTATTCGGTCTGCTTGTAATCCTGCACATGTTACAACATATTTACAGTTGACTTGCTGACTCTAAACACAAAAAAAAATTAACATATAACACGATACGAGAAGAGGGACGGCAACAATCCCTTATCAGGTTGACTAAAGCTGGACAGGCTGATACATCTGTGTGAATACTGGATCAAGAAAGAGATGCCGGCGGGTACAGCAATTGTCGAGGTGGTTTTCTCAAGAAAAATAAAAGTTTTTCTTGTCATATCAACACATTTCTTACAGTAATTTTGAGGTAAGCAAATTAATTTAATTATCAAAGATGAGAAGGACAACAACAGACTTAAAATTCTAATGTCATACAGGGGAGGGGGGGACAGGTGGCCGAATGGTTAACGCCATACGGGGGAGGGGGGGACAGGTGGCCGAATGGTTAACACAGGCTCGTTGCATCAGGTCTGTCATTGAGCCAAGTGGCATGTTTTGATTCCCCGCTTGTACATGACAAGGAGTCGGGTCGCCTGTCCAACCTCGTGAGTTTTCTCCGGTTCAGCCTGTTTCCTCCCACTACTAAAGACCCCTACGCGCAAGAAAATTATTGAAATACAATTGAACCATATGTTAGTCCCGAAATGACCTTGTTAGTGTCGATTGGTCGTTAAACCCCATCGCTCTCAACCCTCTTCTTCTCTTTCTCCCTCAAAAGCCATCCTTTGGCCTTAAAGATGACTGCAAATGTTTAAACCATGACATTTTTTGGCCCCTTACAAAGGATAATAATATTTGTATCTTTCTATTTACAGTTTGAGAAGCTATGGGGGAACTACAGTCTACTCTTATATTGAATTTCAACTGCCAAGGGATCTTTTACGTGCACACCAATGTGTACATGTTTTTCGCCAAATCCGAACATCTATACGTTATGCCAGGCCATCTGTTCTGCACCACTGACCAGGTGGCACCACCCCAAAAAATCCTGATGAGCTTTCTCGGCCAACACAGGTTCGAACACGGGACCCCCAGGTCTAGCGAGCTGATGTTCTACTCACTGAGCCACTGCGACTCCCAACAAGATTAACATCTAAACCTTTGATTACCTGCTGTCCTCCTGTTATAGTAACTGGATAATCTAGACTAGTATTATCACCACTTTCTTTTACAGTGCCGAACTTTGATGCCTCGAAATTAGTGTAGATTTGACCTCCGTGGTTTTTAAACGATTCACCGTAATGTTTCGTAACAACACCCCAATCAACTATACCAGTATGAGGGGAGTGTATGGCTTTTAATCCCTGAAAAAAAAAAAAAGTATTGATAATTTCATAAACAACTTTTAAAGAGATATTATACAAAACCTAAATTTTCCTTTTGTGTTTTTCTGGCTTCAAATATATATATACCATCAATTAGAAAATGAAATGAAATGGAGTTTAACGTCCTACTGTTCTGCTCCTATGCTGGGCTAATGAAGACGGGCATACGCCATACAGCGTGCTATGAGGGAAATTTTGCCCGGGCAGCGGCACTATCGCCTACTCTTATATCGAATTCCAACTGCCAAGGGATCTTTTACGTGCATTCCAATGTATACACGGGACCTCGGTTTTTCATCTCATCTGAAGGACTAGACAGCTGTCCTTGTCAGGCCCTCCATCCTGCATCACTGACAGGGGGAAACCACGCCGGAAAATCTGGATGAACTTTCTCGACCAATGCAGGGATCAAACACCCGACCTCCAGGCTAGCGAGCCAGCGTCTTACCCACTTAGCCACGTGATCCCCCCATCAATTAGATATTTATTGACAAGTCTATAATCAGCTCTCTAGATCATCTGACAGCTCAACATATTGGGTTGGCTCCCACTGATATAAAACCATCTAAAAAAAAAAGTATTTGTGTGAATGGTAGGCTAATTAAATAATTTAATAAAAAAAACAAAAAAACTTACCACACAATTGGGTTCAATATTTTTTATTTCATCAGGTCCAACCATTTTTAAATCTTTAACACCATTTTCTAAACCTCTTTCATATAATTTATCTAATCTAGGAATTTCATCAGGAGTTACAGCCACTATTAGCTACAAAAATAAATAAATGTTTACCATATACATCTACTCACAATCTGATTAAAATACAGATCTATTTTTCGTTTTGTTTTTTTTATACTTTCGATGGCCTACACTACATGAAGATCTGACGGGTTGTGACGATAGGTCGCATCAGAGGTCATACGAGTGGCTTTTGACCCTATGACGTCAGACATTGATTAATCAATCAGGGTTGGATTACCCACAGTTTCATGCAAAACACACCTAAGGCTCGCCGTAATAGCTAATTGGCTAATAGCTCACATCATTGAGAACACGTCGATGATAACAACTCTTCCAGATCCTAGTGTAGTAATGACAAGTAAAACTAAATTTTGAAGTATAAAAACGAAATGAAATAGGATCTGTGTTTTATCAGATTGATCTACTCAGTGAACCAAAGGGAATTCCCAATGACCAAGTCAGTAGGATTACATATAAACAACACAAGACAACACCGGACACAGGAATTTTTGCAGGAGGGGGTTTGCCAGTTTCCTGAGACAATGTATCCCCCCCCCTTCCCGCATGGTCTCTATGGTCATTTTGGCGTATATACATACACATTGAGAATTTTAAACAGAGAAATTCAACACTTCGTTTGATGTCAATTTTTATTATGAATTAATACAATGACTTTTTCATTCAATTTCATGGATGCAAAGCATTAATTGAGATATCACATAATGTCTATATCATTATCTCCGTGCTTTGAGTGCCCATCCTGTCCCACATCTGACGATAAAGGATAAAGCACACGGCCCAAGAAACTTTTCTCATAAAAAGTACTGATTTACAAAAAAATTTATGTAGCTGGATCCGCCCCTGGGATGCCACTGTTGAGAATCAAACCTGCGGCCTCATTCATTGAATCCATACACCTTTACTCAGTCAGCCAAATGGGAATTCCCCACAACCAAGTCAGTAGGAAACAGGACTTTTATTTTGAATTTCAACTGTCAAGAGTTTCTCTTCGTGCAGGCCAAAGTGTACACTGACATGATCTCGTTTTTTTTCACACCATCCTAATAAATATTCGAATCCCTGGTTGTACGTGACAAGGAGTAGGGTCACCAGCCAACCTTGTGGGTTTTCTCCGGGTCCTCCGGTTTCCTCCTCCCACTGCTAAAGACCCCTATGCACAAGCGAATCATTAAAATAAAATTAAACCATGTGTTGGTCCCGGAATGACCTAGTTTGTTTCGAGTGGACGTTAAACCCCATTTCTCTCTCTCTCTCCTAATAAATAGACACAGTTCCTTGCCAGGCCCTTAACCTTCCACCACTGACAAGGACGAAACGACATCTTGATCGTAACGCAGTACCTCACTCACTGAGCCACCCGTACGTAACTAACGTACGAAAATTAATTGGTGGCTAGCTTTTTTTTCGCACGTATACAGTGAATGGCCATTTTGCTCAGTAATCCCAGCCAGAATTTGGCTATTTTCTAAATTTGCGTTAAAGTTTAAAATAATAAAATTTGTTTTAGAACTGAAACACATTAACTATTAGTCAATCTCAACGCTAAAAACATCAACAGAATTGATTGTGTATATCTGAAATAGACCCGACCGACGCACAAAATAGTGCAATATGGCGGCCTCTATGAACAACCCTTGCAGACGCTGTCATTGAAGACAACGTCAATTCTATGAGTTGTTGATGTTATTTTTGTGAAAAATCATTGGAAGAAGAGAGAACATGTTGGGACTGTACGAATTATATAGTTTTTATGGGTGCAACGGACACAATGCTGAAGATAAACCTATTGTTTACAATGTTGACCTCATGACCCATTGACGTCAATGTCATGACCTGTGATGTGTAGATCACGTGATACGGATATCATGGCTATTGACTGTGTCTGAGATACTTCTCCGCAGGTAGCGTGTCTCAGATGTTCAGAATGTGAGCCACCATAGCTCCTTTGTGGATGTATAAAAATAGTTCCAACTCACCTTTCCGCATTTATTATATGGTACATTATGTTTATCACAGTATTCATACGCCAAATTTAATCCCTCGACACATAATTTAGCTTTTAACGATCCGGGTGTATAATACATGCCCGCATGTATTACTCCACTGTTTCGTCCACTCTGGTGGAAAGCTGAAAACGAAAAACAAAATGGTTTCTCTCAGACAGAATGCAATGGAATGGAAATGAGTTTTAATATCACTCCAGCAAAATTATTCAGTTTAATGCTGCAAGGAAAAAAAACCTGTTTTTCTGAGACAGAATAGAATTGAGTTTAACGCCATGTCAACATAAGGTCTAACACAATATTATTATTTAAGATTATCTGGTAACCTGTGTATTGCAAAAAGGGAGAATTTTGCCCGCACAGTGGCACTTCTGCTCATCGTAATGTCTCTCTCTCACTCTCTCTCTCTCTCTGTTTCTCTCTTAATATGGGAGATAACTCTTCCGGTCTTATTGACAAGTTGTACATACCCAGTGTATCCTCTTTCTCCACCACAGCAAAGGTTAAATTAGGATGTCTGGTTATTAATTCTCTAGCTGTTGCCATACCAACAATACCCCCACCAACAATAACTATATCATAATTACCACTGGTGGCACTGAAATGTTAAAATAATATCTCTAGTCCAGTTGACTTTCATTTAGAATTGGTCATGGGCTCGCTCCCGGTGTTGGCTGAGAAACTTCATCAGGATTTTCCGGCGTGGTTTCTCCTTGTCAGTGGTGCAGGGTGGAGGACACGTAAAAGATCCCTTGGCAGATGGAATTCGATATTAGAGCTGGCCGGCTAAAATTTCCCTCATAGCACACTGTATAGTGAATGCCCGTCTTCATTAGCCCAGTCAGAGCAGAACAGTAGGACGTTAAACCCCATTCCCTTCAGACATCAACTCTGTGCAATTTGTGGGTATATTCTATTACTTGGTATGAAATGAGATGGCTTTATCGACTAACTTTACGGTACCAACTAGATTATTGAAGATGTCAAGACAGTGTGCTACGAGGTTAATTCTACCAAGGCAGCAACACTACAACCTACTCACTGATAGGATTCTGTAACATTCTACCAACATGCCATCCTCGAAATCCCTAGTGGTCTCCTTCTGTTCCCCTTCAAAAAACCCTGGGTTCATCAATGAGGGAGACACATATTCAAATTATCTGCCCTTGATGATTGTGCTATTTTTATCTACCAATCAAAAAGTTTGTTAAATACATAAAAACTGACATAAAACATTTTCCCCATCCAAAAGTTGTTTTAGGACATCTTTTTGTGTGCACGTCGCTTCTCTTATATTAAATTTCTTGTAAACGTCTGATAATCGAGTGAATAACCCGCCATATTATTGTGTAAACGTCTGATAATCGAGTGAATAACCCGCCATATTATTGTGTAAACGTCTGATAATCGAGTGAATAACCCGCCATATTATTGTGTAAACGTCTCATATCGAGTGAATAACCCGCCATATTATTGTGAACATAAACAATGGGGCTAAGACTGGTTTTTAATCTGTTTTTTGATTGGTTCCTAGAATCAAGCTGCGATCAAGGGTAGATAATTTAAATATGTGTCTCCCCCATGGATGAACCCAGGGTATGGCCGAGTAGAACGGAATCAGACCATTGGGGATACACAAGCTGCCAACATGCACATTGCACCTACGACAGATACGGGACCTGGGTTTTCATCCCTGCATATCAACGTTTTTCTTTGCCAGGTCCGTGGCTTACCTGACCAAGTGCACTAGATTGATCCTCCCCCTGTGCAAGATTATCCCAGAGTTAATGTGATATTAGAATTCCGTAATCATTAAATAAGGGTTTTATCTTTTGAGTCAACTGGCGTGGTTTTGATTCCCTGGTTGTACGTGACAAGGAGTAGGGGCCCCTGTCCAACCTCATGGGTTTTCTCCGAATCCTCTTGTTTCCTCCCCCTGCTAAAGACCCCTACGCGCAAGCGAATTATTGAAATAAAATTGAACCATAGGTTAGTCCCGAAATAACCCAGTTTTTGTTGAGTGGTCTTTTAACCCCATTTCTCTCTTTGTCTCTCTTTCACCATTATAAAATTAAAAGGATTTTTTTCAGTGATCACTGTTTGGTGAAAGTGGATGTTAATCTACACCCTAAGTCAATTTACAACTTTTGCCACAAAAGATTGTTTTTGAGTTATAACTTTCCATTGCAGATACAAGATAAACCCTAAAATATGATATGTAATGAGTGGGGGGGGGATATAGATACACGTAGACATGAAATCTTTCATCGTCATACTTCATACCGGCCATTAAAACTAACTTTACATTACTACATCGTAATATCTGATTACATCGCATAACTTCTACACGACAAAATAAATAAAATTACCCACAATTATTGTACTTTTCTTAACTTTATCTCGCTAAAACATCCACGATCGTATTTCTTATAAAAACTCACTTGTCTTCGAAAATCTCTCGCAGGCCGTCTTATCCTAATATCTTGTTTTATTTATATTGAAAATAAATAATAAAATAGAAATGAATACATCTCTATCTGGTTCCATTACTTTCTCGAGATTTTATTTTTTCATTTCTTTCATTAACTTCTCGATATTTATTTAATAAATAATCTAAGGGTTGGATAAAACTATTAAAATTTTTAATGTGGGTGCTTAAGTTTCCTGTATGAAGCCAAAATTTCAAACAAAAGCAGCTTTGATGAAATGAGATGTAAACAGGAAAAAATAATTTCCTCAAGGTATATGGGCGTACAATTTTCACATTTCACTGTTCCAACTTTACAAATCATAACGTTAAGTCGACAATACCAAAATGAAATGGGGTTTAACGTCCTACTGTTCTCAGTGTTCTGCTCCTAACCTGGGCTAATGAAGATGGGACGACAATACCAATCGTGCATTTTATGGACTATATGCAATTCTACTTGGTTTAAAGATACATTATGGGAGATTAGATAAAGAGCTGGGAGTTCTCACTATAATAGTTTAAAACTAGATAATGTAAAGGGAATTTGCTAAAAATTTTAGTGATTAGGGGTTTTTGTCGCTATGGAGAACCCAGGGCTGATTGAGATAGCATTGGGCTGTAGCATATGCTATATATAAAGGGACTTTATATTGTAATATAATATGCAGAAATATTAAAACACATATCATCATATTATGTACGTTTGGTATATGTATAACCAGGGTTCCGTGTACACATTGGTGTTCACGTAAAAGAACCCTTGACAGTTGGAATTTGATATAAGAGTAGGCCATAGTGCCGCTGCCCGGGCAAAATTTCCCTCATAGCACACTGTATGGTGTATGCCCGTCTTCATTAACCCAGTCGGAGCAGAACAGTAGGACGTTAAACCTCATTTCATTTCATTTCCCATTAATTACTGTGTTAATTTTATCCCAATTTGAAGGATATAATTTGCTATAATCCCTAGTTTTAAATACTCAAGACCTCTGTAGACCCATCGACCCTAAATAGGCTGGCTACTCTCTGTAGGATGTTTCAGCATGGACTTTATAATGTATTATAAGGTCCATGGTTTCGGCTACCAACATATATAAATCTAACCCCAGCAGGACCAGTTAGCACATTTCTAGCCGGGGGTTTAGATGGCTGAATGGTTAGCGCATGCACACTGTATCATAAGGTCTGTCATTTTGTCAACTGGCGTGGTTTCGATTCCCTGGTTGTACACGACAAGGAGTAGGATCGCCTGTCCAACATTGTGGGTTTTCTCCGGGTCCTCTGGTTCCCTCCCACTGCTAAAGATCCCTATGCCTAAGCGAATTATTGAAATAAAATTGAACCATGTTAGCCCCGAAATGACCTAGTTTTGTGTCGAGTGGACGTTAAACCACATTCCTCTCTCTCTCTCACATTTCTAACCTTTTTGACAAAAACCTCAGTCCACCAGGCAATAAATATCTTAAGTTGTTTCAAACAATATTATTCATTAAATAAGATAAGAATATGTTTTTCAAGCTCTCTTAAAACTTCAGATTAAACAAATCATAAAAGTTTGAAATTATCTAAATAAAAAGATCAAGCCATTATAAGCAATAAGATAGTAAATGGCAGATTTACCTCTCATAAAAAAAAATTTCCGACACATGTCAACATTTGTGTCGTCAAAAAGTGGTTTTTAACACAGGTAAATAAATATTGGTTTATAAAAACCCAATATTTACTTTTTAGACAAAGGAAAAAAAAACCCAGATAGTCAGCTGATGACAAACTTTAGATGACAAGCTTTATATTTATTTATGAATGTACTTATATCTAGAGAAGTTTACAAACTGACAAAAACAGAAGCCATTTTATATCAATTGATAAGGTTAAAGTATTATACGTGACGTTTAAACTTTGTTTTTAATAACATCTTAATTAGACTGACAAGTGGAATTGGACACTTTTAGACGAGGGAGAACCACAAGCTCCGCCCCCTGGTAGAACGTGCCACTGTTTGTCAACAATACGAGACAATCGCTCAGCCAATCAAATCGCGGGAAATCCTACACCGGCTGCAATGTAGAAATAATGTGAACTTGCTTGCCACTCGAGTTTTTGTCGAGTTGACATGAGGTTAGTGTATTAGCGTGTGCATTACCTGTTTGTGAACGTGTTCTTGGAGTATATTTGTGTGGAACATGCCGATACTTTGTTGTAATCAGGCCTAACTGATCGCAAAGATGGAATCGAAGGACGGAGCAGTCGAAACACACTTGCCGATGAAGCCATTGCTCTCCAATTTTAACACCGCGAGATTCTCACTCTCAGCGAGATTACCTAGTCGCTCGCTCAGTGAACCGGCTTCTTTGAACGGTGCGAAAACTCCAGAAAAACGGAATTCTTCAGGATCTGCTATGGAGGAGGAATTAAAATGCCCGGTATGTCGGAGATGGTACTGCAAACCGCTTTTGCTTCCGTGTACACATTCTATTTGTACTGCATGCGCGGTTGCGGGACAGGAACCCTCACAGAGTTTGGTTCCTCATCCCGTATCCGACGAGGGTCAAGCAAATGGTCCCGTTATCCAGGATGCGGATAATTATCCAGAAATTGACAAATTAAGTATGGTCAGTGAAGCGGACAGTGGAGTCGTGTGTAATAGTCGACCAAATAGTTATCTGGGAACACCGAGTGTGTCAAATATATTCACCTCCTCGGCCCTTCAGAGCTGCCCCTACGGATTGCGGTGCCCCGTGTGTAATAAGATTGTACTATTGGATGATTTCGGGGCCCTGTCTCTACCAACAAATAAGGTCCTGGAGGCAATAGTGGAGAAATATACTCAAAACAAACAACCGAAAAAGCTGGAAATTAAATGCGAATTGTGCGTTAATGGGGCCGATATTGCGACAGCAATGTGCGAACAATGTGAGGTCTTTTATTGTGATACATGTCGCGATAATTGTCACCCTTCTCGGGGTTCCCTGGCTAAACACAATCTAGTGGACCCGACCCAAGGCAAAAATATTCTACAATCAAAAAGGAAAAGAAAGGAAGCTAAATGTAAAGAACATTCAGAAGAATTATTGAGTATGTTTTGCGTGGGATGTAAAATACCCGTTTGTTATGTATGTTCTCAGGATGGTCGCCATATAAATCATGATGTACAGTCTCTTAGTGCGATGTGTAAAGCACAGAAGGTAAGCCTATATTTTATACATAGGAGAGATGGAGTGGATGAATGAATGGGTGAATGAATAGCACACTAACCTTCCTAATATAGCATTGGCATAGATGTAACAGGAATGGAAAGATTGGATAGATGAATGAAGAAATGAATGGATGAATGAAGAAATGAATGGATGAATGAAGAAATGAATGGATGAAAGAAGAAATGAATGGATTAATGAAGAAATGAATGGATGAATGAAGAAATGAATGGATGAATGAAGAAATGAATGGATGAATAAAGGAATGAGGGAAGGAATGAATGACCACATAATGAAATGGATGGATGAATGAAGAAATAAATGGATGAATGAAGACATGAATGGATGAATGAAGACATGAATGGATGAATGAAGAAATAAATGGATGAATGAATGGATTAATGAATGGATGGATAGATGAATGAATGAAGAAATGAATGGATAAATGAAGAAATGAATAGATAAATGAAGAAATGAATGGATAAATGAAGAAATGAATGGATAAATGAAGAAATGAATGGATGAATGAATGGATGAATAACAAAATAGGCAAGCTTTATTTATATAGGATAGACCAAAGAAAAATAACAATGGAGAGATTGTGGAATTTGAGAAGGAATGAAACCCCTTGAATGAATGAATGAATAAATGAATGAATGAACCATCAAGAACTAGAAATATGAAAAGACAAATGAAAATTATCTAAAACAAGATAAAAAAAAATTACCACCATGAAATGGCTGGATGAATGAAAGGAATGAATTGAGTGAAAATTATTTTGTTCTTTTAATCTCTATAATCACCTGTCTAAAATAGATCAGGGTTGATTGACAGCTCTGTTAACGAGATAACTGATTAATTGATTAATAATTCAGAGTTATTAAATAAATAATTAACAGGCAAACACTCGATCAATTTTACTCCCAACCATGCACTTATGTACCTAATATGCTATTTACTATAATAGGCCTACCCCCCCCCCCCCCAAATTGTACAGGGCAACAATACAATAATAGGCCTAACCTTACATGCACAGGGCAACTTACAATACAATCATAGGCATATCCTTACATACACAGGGCAACAATACCTTCATAGACATATCCTTACATGCACAGGGCAACCATACAATCATAGATCTACCCTTACATACACAGGGCAACAAAACAATAAATAATAGGCCTAACCTTACATGCACAGGGCAACAATAAAATAATAGGCCTATCCTTACATACATGTACACAGGGCAACAAAACAATAATAGGTCTACCCTCATTCACATACACAGGGCAACAAAACAATAATAGGTCTACCCTTATTCACATAAGAGCAACAATACAATCATAAGCAGAGTAGGCAGTGAATTAATTTAAAAACACAACTACAAACACTAAGGGTACAGAACCAATTAAAAATGCTTTCTAATACACCAGTACATGGATCCTGACAAGAAGTTTGGAACAATATCGAAATTCTATTCTATAATGGGAAAGAATTGATTATGTTGTTGGAAGTAGAAAAGATTAGGAGGGCTGTGTGCCAGTGTATGAGTAGTACTGTATCTGGAGAATTGCATGCACCATATTTTTACATGTACAATGTAACTGACTAGCTATGGCTGATGTATTGGATATTCAGCTGTGTGTTATCCTAGAGCTGAAAGCTGTCGACTTAAATAGCTTCTAAAACCGTTAGCTGTAATACAGGGATCTGTGGCATGCTGCTAAGACTCTAATCTCTTTAACACAAAATATTACATTGTAGATAGAAATGGATGAAACATTAAACTTCATACTTTCTCACATACGCTATTCGTTTTTTGGGGGTTTTTTTCTCTCGCTGTCGGTAATAAAGAAAATTGGCCTAATGAATTCAGCATTTGGTGAATTGCAAGCAAACTGAGTTTTTGAACCCCTTTTCCTCACTCTTTAATACATTAACACATTATTATTAAACTTTAAACACAATTTCTTAGAAATCCCTTTTTTAAAGATACAGGTTATACTTAATTAGTATATTCAGGAAAACCACACCACATACAACAAATAAATAGTAGCCCAGAAGAAAAAGATGACAAAAAAAGTGTAATCAAAGTAATGGCTGGATTTGAGGGGATGTTCAATCCTCTGTAGCGTTATATTATTTGTTAATAATATCTTTAACATGGTTTCAAACTTCTTTACTCAAAATACAGGTGCATATGATTTCATGAAAAATCTGATAGGTAATTTTGAGAAAAGGCAAATATAAATTGTGGTATATTAGATATACCACAGATAATTTTACAATATGATTTCTTTGATAAACCACCACAGTATGAAAAATATGACAGGGTTTTACAATAATGCACAGAATTGTGGTTTAAACATGCAATATTCAGTATTTTGATGCATGGCATGATAGAAAGCATGGTATATTAGATATACCACAGATAGTTTTGCATAATGCAACAGACTGGATGTTTTGAAGAGAGGTAATATTTAAACAAGTTATCAATATTATTCATAGATGCAAGTGTGCAATATCAAATATAACCCATGATTGATCAGTTTTTAATAGGATCATAAATGATTGATACAGGGTGGTGTAGATGCTAGCTGTTATCGGGTTATATATCACAATAAACTCACTGAGGCAGCTGAGCTATGGTATATGCAATAACTACCAGATAATAAAAATATGGCCTATTGGTAATTCATCCAGGGCTGTTGTTCATTGATTTGAGAGAGAAATGGGGTTTAATGTACACTCAACACAAACTAGGTCATTACGAGACTAACATAGATTGTTTTGGGTGTTAAGGATCTTTGGATTTGTAAAGAAGATTGAAAACACAGTGTAAAGAATTTTGATGTTCTAATGAAAAATCATAATCCAGGAAATTGTGTAATTAAAACATAGGGCTAAAAATACAGTAACACATCATAGTAGTTAGATACATATTAAAGATATAAAATACAGTGGAACAAGTTTAGGTGGCTATTTATTAATCAATACCCTGAAGGATAGAAGATAAAATGGGCGTGGTCATTGAGATATACATAATAGATAGATATACAGAGAGCATTCTATTGTTCATATCTATATACATGTATTGATAGAATAAACATCCAGTGATAATATTGATAGAATAATCATCCAGTGATAATAAGTTCATAAATAATAGACAATAACAATCAAGGTGTGTTTTGTCCTCACCATAAAGATGAATAGTTGCGTTAATTGACCAAAAGAAAAGTTATTAATGGAAGTCAATTCTGATCATTTACTTCACAGTATGAAATAGATGTAGATAATTGTCTTTTAATTGATTTCAATAAATAGTCAAAAACATGTTATTCACGGTTTCTAGGCGAAATTAAACAATCCATAAAGAAAACTTGATTTTTGAAGTCAGAGGGTACCAAAAATAAAAAATACCAATAAATAAGTACTGTTGAAAAATGGCGAAACATGTTATTTATTGGTTTCTTAGAAGAAATTGTTGAAACATGTTATTTACTGGTTTCCTAGAAGAAATTAAACAATGCAGTGATGCTATACATTAATGAAAACTGTTGATTTGAAGTCAAAAGGGTACCATATTAATCGTACTAATAATGGAAAAAATAATGAATAAGTACCCTTATGAAAATGGTATGTTATAAGGGTTACTGAATAGATATATTTTTTTTAAACAAAGATATAAAAAAATAAGATATTAGCATGAAAAGGGTTACTTTGTCTGCAATATCACCTCGGTGGAAGCGGACGTAAAATACAACTAACACACACACAAAAGGGTTACTGAGTTGAATTTTGCATATGTATAGCGAACCCAGTGCTGAATCAATATTTTTTAAAACATTAATGCCAACAGCCATAGAGATCTAAAATTAACAGTGACTAGCGACTCGATGGTAACGTGCCAGTATTCCAAGGTAATTTGTAAAACTGTAGAAAGAAATCCATTCTCATGAATACAAGTTGTTTTATTGGCAATAATTAGCTGGTGTTGCCTCCTATAATCTTGGTTGGTTTAACTTAAATTTATGGCTTCACTCATGACAGTTTCTCTGCTTTCAAAGTTAATTTTCTTGCAACTAGCCAACCTAAGAAATATTGCATTTCGAAACACCCCTTTTTCTCTTCAAAACACAGAAACACTTATAGAAATGTGTGCATTCTTTTTTGTGCTGATGGGAGAATTAATTTAAAATATGTACCTCTATCGGACTTGTTGATAAATTGGAAAATGTACATCTATATATGTAATGATTTGGATATTATCACAGAAAATATATGGATTTTAAGATTGAATAGGTTAATTTTGAAAAGAACATTTATTTAGGAAAGATCACAAATTCTATCGGAACTTTCTGACCAAAATATCTATATCTGTTAATTTCATTGCGGTGTATATTCTGCAAGATGTCTTTGTTGTAGTTTTATACCAACTTGACGAAAGCCTACTTAATTTGATGTACAACACGATGGCTTGATATCTACATCTAATTGTTTTTCGACTAGTTAGCCAGGCGCCAGTCGTAATCTACCTTGACGACTGAATGGCTACCTGAACACACCTTGTACCTTTAATATGTGACTAAATAATTTAAACCATTTCACCTTTAAACACCCCTACCTGTGGTCAATACAGGTGAATGTTTGACCACTACATTTACCTAAAACATTGTATCAACACCTTACTTAATGAGATAATTTAACTCCTCAAAAGACATCTTTACCTAACAGATTATCACCTGCCCCTCAGGGGAAGCCTGTCTAGACTAGGAGGCTCGGATGAATATGAAATGGGAGGTTACCTGGGCATCGAAACATAATTAAGAATGAGTCAAATGGCATGGTTAAATGGAATTTCAAAAAGAGGGTTTTTTACTTGATAATATAAACTGGGTAATATCACTACATAATTCTATATTTGGAAAATGAAATTTCTGTTTGATACTAGCTGGCATACACAATTAGACGAGCCTGCAGTGTACAAAGCT